TGAATGGATAAATAAATCACAGATGGACAAATAACCTGACCTGGTATAAAAGCAGTTTCCCGAATATGCTCAGAACTATAGTATATACAACAAAACCCAGGACACAGCAGTGCAGATCAGAGTAGGTTTTCTCCTTAATGGCTTAGGTTGCTAGAGGCTAGCATGGGAAGAGAGCAGATTTCCTGCTACTTCTGTGGCTTCCCTAAGTGCACTCCTTTATTTACTCCTGTGCAGAGTGAATGATTGTCATTCCTTTCCCTTAGAAATGTAAAGTGCTATACTTGAGACTGCTGGTATGGTAGCAGCAAATTCTACCCTCCACTCTGGATAGTGGGTGGTCTCGCCTTCACCAACAGGAATCTCAACGAGGGCACTACAAAAGCCCTCCTTTTAAATCCATGTCTCATGATGGGTATTTTGCTAGCATTATAGAAGTGCCTCTAGCACATGCAGAGTACACATCTTTCCCCAGTCATCAACTGCTGTCTATTGCTGCAGGGTATTTGTTTTCTTAGGAGTGAAATCAATATAAACTACAGATTTTCACCTTTTGTCTTGCAATCCCATGTCAAGCTAAGAAGCAGTGTAGAAATGTTTGAATAAAGAAAACACTCCATACTTGGTTGTGCCCACTCACATGCACCATGGCAGGCTTGCTATAGGGATCATGACTGGCTTCTTGGACAGGACTTTGTGCCATTAAGAAAAATCCATAGAGCATTTTATGAACAATTATAGTCCCTGTAATGAGAACACCAGTTCCTTTTCAAATGATTTTTGATGTGGAAACACAAGAGAAGGATGTTTTCAGTTCTGGCAGTATATGGGGTTTTTGGTTGAGTTTTGCAGTCACTCTCTATGACGCCTTTCAGGACAGAAAGGCATTGTGATTCATTTTCAAACAGATGGTGATATACTTAATCACAGGGTATATTTTCAGGCTATATTTAATTCAATGGCCTGTACTAGCTCACCTTCTTTCTCGTATTTATGACATCTTGTGTTACATTGGGGAAAATGTATTAGCATGACTACTAGCTCATAGAAGATAAATGCCATTGCCTGCTGAGTGCACAGAGTGTCACAAATTACTATACAGAATCATGCGTTCCATTGCAGGGTCACAGGTATTTGTGGATATTAGTCATGGTTATGCAGCATTGACATCTGCAGGGAAATACATATTCTGCTTTTCTTTAGCTGCTGAGCAGAATCTCATCTTGAAATCAGCACCTATATGACAAAGAAGCACCCCTAACACATGACCACTCAGGCTCTCCTTAAAACTCCTCCAGCAAAAGATCCTCAGCCACCAAACAAAATTAAAAGAAATATAAACAATGCTCTTTAACTAGAGTTCTTTCATCTTCAGGCTATCAGGCTGCTTGTCTTCGTCCGTTATTATGCACTTTCATATCATTCACCGGATTAAAAAATCCAGGGCTTGGCTGCACAAAGGAAGTTGTGGAGTAATCCTAGACAATGAAAGTTATTCTTGATCAGGTAGCCTATGCTAGCAGTGTAATTCTGAGAAACATGGGAAGATTTGGAACAACTTCATTGAAATTTTTTATAACCAAGCAGGTTAGGTGGTGATCATGGATGTTGGCAGTGCTGTGGTCTGGTTTCCAGAGTGGAACTGAGTGAGAATTCATGAGGCTTATGTTTTAACTTTCAACAAAATCCTTCTTTATTAATTCCATTTATTCTTACTCACCTTTGTCAGTCTGTTTGTTTCCTACATTATGGGCGAGAGTCGTGGACAAATGCCCTGTCTCAGGGAAATGTAATACCAGGATCACAAAACCTTAATAAAAAAGAAAAGCAGAGACATCAACTTCCAGAGAGGTCTGCAAGATCAATTTGGTTGTCTGCTTGCTACCAACAGTTTCAAAGTTTTTTTCTCTTATTTTCAGAAAGAAGCTTTAAGGTGGCTTCAGCATATGAAGAAGGCTTACAGTAATAATAATTATGTACCTATATGGGGGGGGGGGATATAGCACATAATTTCTTGCTGTAGATGCTTGTGGGCAACAGTCAGGGTAAGAGTGGGGGATGAGAGGCACAGAGGAAAAAATGGAAATGCTTACTGTGAATTTCTACTCCCAGGGTTCCTGGAGGGCAGTCCTGCTAGGGGCTGGCTCCTTCTCTCTTGCAGGCAGGTATCCTTCTGGGGGAGGGGCCATCCCACCCTCTCCAGTCTGGCCCTACCTTTTGTACAGAAGGGTCGGAGTCTTTTGAGCTCCAGAGAGCTCAGCGGAAAATCCTCCATTTTTCCTCCTCCCCCCCTTTATTTTCCTTTTATACAATTTCTTCGATTACTGACAGCAGTTGCGGTATTGCGGCGGCGGCAGCAGCAGCAGCAGCAACAACAACAACAACAACAGGGAGCTCCAGGCAACTAAATTCAGCTATCAACAGCCAGGGAAGAGGCTCAGGCAAGGAAGCCCCACGGAGCCCAGGAAGGAGGGGATCTCTGGGCAGCATCCTCAACCCCTTGCATGACCTCAGCCACCGGCAAAAGCAGCCGGTCCTTGCTACGGGCCTTGCTACGTTGCCTGAGGGCTTCCTGGCACGGCTTTGTAGTGCATCTGAAGAAAAGTGCAGACTCCATCGCAAACAACAACGCATCTCAAGAGTATGGATAGACTCACAGACATTTCGGATACATCTCCGAGGAACGAATAATGAAAATCTACTCCCTGATGCAGAAGATACGGGAAGCCAAGGTTGCAGATATCATGGAATTGGCAAAAATGCAGGTGCTCATGGTTTCCTGCAAAGGTCTAGTAGATTGGACAGAACTCCACAAATGACCCATTACAGACGCTACCGCCGTTTCAAGAAATGATCGTGACATCCAGACACCGAAGCATTCCTATGGGCTGCCATAGGTGAAAAACAGGGGAAGGGACTGTTGCTAAGACCTTTGGTTGCTTCATCTGTTTGAATGCGTTTGTTTTTACCTAGATATTTGGCTAAATTATAAATATTGATTTTTGTTATTGTAGTTTTGCATGTTATAACAGAAATTGTTACATTATTGCTTATTAGGTGTGTTTATATGACTTTGTCATTTTTGTATATTGTTGTTTTTTCTGTTTATTGCTTTCTTCCTCTCCCTGGGATTGACAATATTCAACAAAGAGCTGGCTATAATCATGCAACTTCAACTCTGTATATAAGAGTTGTCACCTTAAGCTTCAAACTGTTGAGTCTAGGATACGGATGGGGAACATTTTTCAGCTGTAGGGCCATATTCCTCAAGGGGAAACCTTATGGGGGCCACATGGTAATAATAGGGAGGGGAAGAGGCAAAAGTGGCTGAAGCTGTGACACTTACCCTTTTGTACAGTCAGCTATGTTCCAGCCACACTAATGTCTGAGGTTTCTTCCCTCTCTCACCTCCTGCTCTCAACACTCTATTCAGGAACGAAAGAAACTCGGCACTACCACGTTCAAGAACTCATTCCAACCAAGCAAAAACACTTGAAGGGGGCCAGGGTGGGGTGCAGCCTAGGAAAAGTACTTAGTAGGCCTGGAGGGTTAGATAGTAGAACAGACGCTCCCCACCCTTGGTGCAGGACGTATTTCCTTAAATGCCCACCCTATTCCAAAGGCGCAATCATTATCCAAATGATGAATAAATATTTTAAAGGAATTCTGCCAAAAGCTAGGACTAAATCTAGCAGATGACACCATTCCAGCTCACTGTCTACAACAGTGCCATGCCTACATGTAACTGTATATCTGTAAAGAATCTGGCACAGTTAGACTTTTAGCAGTTCTGGATAATCCTGTGTTTCATATAAATTTTAAAGTGCAAAGTATCAGTTGCTGTAAATGGAAAATACAGTTGGACATAACTCCTGCTGGATTGTAGCCAGGTTATCAAGGTTAACTCTGTTCAAGCTGCTGAAAAGTCCCCTCATTGCTGAAAAGCCGTGTTGGAGATGCTTGCCGCCCCGTGCCATGTTGAAGTAAACACCAACGTGGCCTTTCGGCCTCGGACACTTGGCGGGGATTTTCAAATGGCCATACAGGCAGGATTCACGACCCTTTCAGGCTGCATCCGGCCTCTGGGCCATAGTTTGCCAACCCCTGCTCTATTTGGACCCATGCAGTGTTCTTCCCATTCCAGCTTCCTAATACTGCCTTTTTGGGAAATAGCCATTTCTCTCCTCCATCCTCCCCTGCTTCTTTCAGAAAGGAAGGTGTGGCACCAAGCAGTATTTGTGACAGATGCTAGTTTAGCAGCTTTGAGAGAGATTAAAGGATTTCTTTCAAAAGGCTGCCTGTAATTAACAGCCACTCAGGACGCACTGCTGCTGCCAATTCTCTGAAGGAACAGGATGCAAAAAGGCAAAGTACCAAGACAGGCCAGGTTCAAATGGAGAGGTGGTAAAGTGCAAATTGAACCAAATTTCCCCTCCGTTCCCAGCAGGGTGGGGAAGAGGGCATTTCTGCCTCCATCAATCAGTCCTTTTCAGTGGCGGATACTGAAAGTTCTAATCCTGTATCTAGTAGGGATGGGGAACCTCTTTCAACACAAACGCTACATTGCCTTCTGGGCAACCTTTTGAGAGTCAAATGCCAGAGATGTGCAAAAGTGGGTGTGGCAACAAATATAATTTTTACCTTTGAACAGAAGGCTAGTTTTGGTACACTCACACACCCCAATACATCTATGAGTAAAACTTGCAGACAAAGCCCAATGAGATGCAGTTCTTGGTTTCAAACGCTAGGAGAAAGAAAGGCATTTGCTATTGAAGTGAATGAGGTACTTGGATGCACAAGAGCTGTGTGCATTGAACTGCATATCGAAGGCACTGAACTGAGACATGAAGATGTAGATGATGCACCCCCCCCCCAAGCCCTGCAATGAACCATCGGAGTGAAACAAAGTGATTCAGCCCATTCCAGGGCAGAGGAAACTTGCATTTGGTCATTTGTATTTTTGTAAGTTAGAAGGGATCAAACATACATACAACAAAGGCAAGAAGCTTTGGAATGTAACAATTTATTGGGGTTCATCTTTTTAACTCCCCATTTCTGGCATTGATACAATACTCAAGAGCAGCAGAAAGAACAAAATGTACAAGCACACAAGAGTAATTAGCACAACCCCCCGCAAAACCTGGAGCAAGCCACTTTTCTGATGGAAATGCCAATGGGGGGTGGTGATTCAATCACCCACCCCACTATGCTTCCCATCCATCCACTCTAGACAGTTTAGCCAGCTGAGAACTGGATTTTTAAAAGCAACCAAGCAAATGCAAACACTATATTTAAAAATGAATAAGACAAAAATAATAGATAACACTTCTTTCATGCACAATTGTTTCATTAAATGCATTTTTGCCAAAATTAAAAAGTTACCAGATATATATTTAGTTATTGGTTTTTAAAGCCTATTTCATACGCCAAGAGGCAAGAACACAGCAACTTCAGCTCACCCTTTGACAAAACTTAGCATAAGGCCTCAACTTTGCAAAAGCCAAATGTGCAGACTTACACTAACCCTCTCAATTGACTGCAGTTTTGTAAGGTTCGAAGCAAGTGCCACCATCGCCTTAGAAAGCCCTTACGTATTAACAAGGTTCACAATGGGATCACACTGACATCAGCAGCATGTCTGGCAAGGTTGAGGCCTGGCACTGGCAAGTGCAAGGGTGAGCGTAAAAGAGGAGCAAACACCAATTCTGAACCTCCTGGAACAAGAGGCTTTTCTCCAAGAGAACTCACAAAGAGAAATGTGGCAGATGAATTGGTTTGAGTATAAAATTGCAGGAATGTGGGGAGGGGGAATAAGCACCAGGAACATCACTAAAGCCGTGGTTAGATATATTTACTTTAGGCTGGTGGTAGCAGCCACCATGAAACAAACTGCATCCTTAGAAGTCCCAACTTTCTGCCAGTCCCTTGCCCCCTGTGGCATTCATCTTGGAGAATATCCACCACCTAACTTGCTGCCTAGCTTTTGCATCTGCACAGGTGTCCCACATTCTTTGCATGTCACGCCCTATGAGCAACAGTATTCTCCAGATTAAAACCATAAATTATTCCCAGGTTAAGGGGACATCTTTCTACTACTGATAATGGCCTATGAATACCACAGGGCAATCTTCCACTAATTACATGGGACACATACAGCAGTCTCTGAAGAATAGTTGAGTTGCTACATTATTTTCTTGCTTCACTGAAAAGCTTGACTGTAAAGAACTAGGAGTTGCTTCCCACATTACTATACATGCAACGTTGGAAAGTTCCTCCATGTCATTCCGGCACCAAAAAAGTAACATACATGTGTTGACTGCATAAGGACTGATACTGAAAGACTCAAGAGTCTCAGCAATACCCTTGTCAGTCTCTGAGTAATAAATATTCCCCACTATGCTATTTAATGACATAGGACAATTCCTACAAGTCATTCTTGTGTCTGGGAAAAAACAGTATGGAATGGCTGGTTCTGTGAGAGACTAGAATAAATGCTAAACATGGTGATCAGGCAAAGAACAATGGAAGAGGATCCCCCATTTAAAATAGCAAAGTACTTCACATTAGAAGCCACAGTATGAGAGTGCTGAACTTTTAAAGCATGTGCTTGCAATTTTTTTTAAGTGCTATACAAAATAGGAATGGGTTTTCAGCATATTGGAATTGGGACTTAAATGAATCCAATCAAATGTTAAGCTGCAAAACATACTCATCTGCAAATTATCGTTTTACTGCCCATTGTATAGAAGAAAGTTTTTTCTCCAGATCACTTGCATGCCTTTATTTCCTTCAGTGAAAGCTTCAGACTAACAAGGAATCATCAGCATCCATTTTGGGAATGCTTCTTCCTTGTCAACAGCTATAATGTTGAGAGCCTTACACAGCATCATCCTGTGCTACACAGAAGGAAGAAATATAGCCACAGAAAGGCATACATTTTAATCCCCACTTATTCAGTACTGGCAACGACCAATTAAGTGACCGAAATAATCCCCAGATGTTAGCAAACCAGAGGGACCAACTTGATCCCTGCAGAATCTTTGTATATTGTAGCTGCAGATTGGCAAGTGATCAGCAACCCAAAGAATAAACAAATAAGCATAGCGCAGCCTTCAGGCTGCCTATTACATATATGGCACCCAATAAGGGTTACCAGTGGAGACAGCAATAGGTGGTATATGAGCCTTTGGCCTAACCCTATCAAGTTCTTATGTATTGAAGCAGCTCTGATACCACACGGCTTTCATCAAGATGTTACTTTTACTTGACATAGCATCAGTAATGGGTCCCTCATGGGAAAGTGGACAGGCTCCGCATACCAGCAATGGACTAGATAGCTCACTTGAATTCTCTACTGCAAGTAGAGATAGGGCTCCCCTATCTTAATGCAGCACAGAAACACAGAAATATAAATTGAGGAAGAGTATAGCCCCTTTCTCCACGGGCAGCCCATTTTATTGCCAAGCTGTGCAGTGAGGAAAGGGCTCCTTTTCTCACCATGCAGCACAGGAAATACAACAAGCTCCCTCTTCCTCACTGCTGATATGTAAACTGAATAGCTGAACAGCATCTGTGGGGGTCTCCCCCACCACACAGCTCAGCTGATTGGAGATTACCACTCAACAGTGGGGAGAAGGGGGCCTGGAGAGAGCGAGTGGGGTTTGGATGCCAAGGCTTGGTGGACCAAATATTTCGCATTCCAGATTAAGTCTTAATGAAGGCTGAGTGTATTCTGCAGTTCAAGAGATTATGTATCTCCAACAAGATAATCTAAACTTTGCACTCACCCAAGGTTGCTACATGCCTAAGTCATGCAAGGTTAAGTACATCTGCATAGATTTGCTTACTTTGCACCATTTACTCTGCTACTGCTAGTCATTGGGAGGCACAAGCGGAACTATGCTGGGCTGTGAACCCATGCTCAGGCCCCACTCTGGCTTCTTCGCCATGCATTGCTCACACATTTTCAAACTTATAATTGCAGCCATAAGTTAGCTTTTTTTTTTAAAGGATAAAGAATGCAGTTTCTTACGAAGCTGAATTTCAAATCCCTTACAAGATGCTGAATTCCAGAGCCGAAGCTAAATTCTACACTTGAACAATCACAGCCTTGGTCCTATGATCTGTGGCAATGGCGCATCCAAATGCACAGATGCATTTCAGTGTCACGCCACCTTTCTGTTTCAAGGAAAATCTTTTGGCTGAGACTGGAGTAAAAGAGAAATGAAATAGATGGCGCAATTAATCGTTCAGGAAAACATGGAACTGACACAAAGGGCATAACAATGACATTGGGAGAAGGTCTTAACTCAGTGTTAAACCACATATTTTGAAAACAATAAGGGGCCCACGTTGAATCTCTAACGCCCCTCATTAAAAGGGGCTGGGGGAAAAATCTCTGAAATGTTTAAGATATCTGAAATGTTTAAGATATTGGAGTGCCACTGCCCATCAACCAACATTGGGTTGGTTGGATCAATAAGAACTAAATGGGACAAAGGTGGCTTCAGATGTTGTTCATATGCCATACATAAGTAACCCTGACACTTCAATCTGAAGAAGACCCAGTAGACCTCTCAAGTAGGGCAGGAGAGACTGCGAGGCAATCAGGGTGTTGCTGTTGCATTAACTGAGAAAGGAAGCCATACATGGAAGAAGAATATTCCAACACCAGGCTCCTCTTTCGTGGCTGTGCAAAACCTGACTTGGATGAAAGCTAAACATTTTATGGGGAAAATACTAAACACAATTAGGGCTGTTCATAAGTGCTGGGAGCAGCTTTCATAAGAACAGCCTCCTTCAGTACATACTTTGGAAGCCAAGTGGCTTGCAGATCACAGCATTCAGACATTCCTAGTTCTCAGCCTTATGGTCATGCTACTGGCCCATGCTGGCTTTGCATAACACAAAGCACTGTGGTGGGTTAAGTGGAGGATTTTACTTACACACACACACACACACACACACACACACACACACACTTCAGTAATAAGAAAATAAGATCCCAGCTCTTGCACCACTAGTGGACAGTCAAAAAAGCAGCAAAGCAAGCAACACTGGAGCACAGGATGCACCAGGCAAAACAGTGCAAAGCCTCAAGGGAAGAGGCAAGGGGGGAGGGGGAATAGCAACATGATGGTTCATAACAGAAGGACTCTGAGCAATAAGTGTGAAATCCATTCCAGGCCTATTACATTTCCTTACCAAAGGCCCACTTGGAATCTTATACCTCCTGAGACCAAGGGCCTCTCCTAATTATCTGGCACAGGGGGGGGGGGGAATGCCTTTTCCTGATTTTCTCCTCCATCTCAGTTACCCAAAATGTTGTTCACTCACACAACTGCAGCTTCCATGGATGGTGGACAAGAAATAATGCTGCAAAGCAACTAAACCTCCCCTAAGCACAAGAGGGGGGAAACATGGGAGCTTATTAACCAGGAAGACTCAGCTCAGATAGCACCCATTTTATAATGGAGGTAGGATTGCAGGTAGTTCTCCGTGGCCAAAATGGGTACTAAGTTATTGAGCAAAGAGGGGAATTCTCCTGAGACGGGAGACACTGTATTTCAGCAGCTCACCAGGAATCACAGGCCCAGAGTATTGTTCTCAGAATTTCCCTATCACTGCCCGTTGCATGCACCCATAGCCTATTGATAACCAATTATCACATATAGGTTAGCACAGACAGAGACATGGGACTCAAGTCCCCCTGAGGAAGGATATCACAGTTCAACTGGTTGGTAACAGATGAGAAAAAGAGATAATAGTGAACAGATAAAAATGAGTTCTCTGCACAATACAGAAAGCTGGACAACCTAGCAGGAAAGATTTAGCTTTCTGGGAGATCTAATACTTTTTCCTAAACAGATTCCAAACTCCCATTTCAACTATGCTTTGCTGCTAACTACAAGAAGTGAACAATTAAGAGCACAGAAGCAAAGGTGTAATTTTGCAAGCAACAGATAAACATGAAAGCTACTTCCACAAAGAAATATACTGCTCAAGTAGCAGGACAGTCTTCCTCCAACAAAAACTGTCACACTTCATCCTTCTTGTCTTAGGGTGTATCCTATAAACACCAGGAGACTATTCCTCTGCTGTCTGAAAATTGATACTGAAGTGGACGACGGGTGGTCTCTTCTACAGATTTTGCATTGGCACTCATGGAAAAAAAGCCAATCTGGACACTTTGGAACAGGAGGGAAAGTGCCAGCCCATTCTCCACCAGTCAGTGCCACATAAATTCTGGGGACAATCTTCACATCCAACCAACACTCCCCCTTTTAATGGAATCTCCTCTTCCATGATGTCTCTTTTGCTAAAATCTTGATCACATACTTGCTCCTTTCACCTTGCTTTCCCTCAGGGCTCAGAATGAAAGCAATCACTGCAACCCAAGCTGCCATCATTAGTTTGGTGTTTGCTATCCTCACGAAGGTCCTAATCACTTTTTCCTCACATATCAAGGCTGTTACCCACTTGAGAACATCTTGGTAAAATGTACCTGGAAGATGTAAAGTGAATTAGATTAATTAGAAGGAATTCTTTGTTATGAAACCCAGTATACATTGAGGTTGACCTATTATGAGGAAAGTTTTGCCAGCTTCTAATAGTTTGTTTGGTTCACAGCTAAAACACATATTTCCTGCTTGCCTGGTATCTTAGATACTTTTACTTACTGAACAACCACAAAGCAGCAACATGTCCCACTTCATCAAATAGCTCTCACCTCAGTAGGTCATATTGATGCCTAAACTGTTCATCTGCAAGTGGATAACATGCCACATAGCCCTTCTGACAAAGCTTTGCCAGAACCAGGCTGAACTCATATCCAGAAAGGAAGGTAAGATGGGAGGCATTCTTCCTCCCTTCGCCCCAAGTAAAAGAAAGTAGAGGGAAGAGAAAATAGGTTTTTATGGACTTGCTTTCTCAACTCAGACACTGTTACTTTTTGCTCTTCCCTTGCCCAATTTGAATGGCCTGAACACCACCCTCCCTACCACACACAAATACTAAAAATACTCTTTAAGAACCAGCTAAAATCACTACAGTTTGTGCAATCACTGCATTTAATATTTTTAAATTCTCTATCCTTCTGTCTGTAAAAATCTCATTACCTTTAAAAAAACCTTTTTTCTTTTCTTTTTTTGCAAAACTAGTTTCTTTCTCCCTCCCCTCCCCCCATTCAAACTCTCCTCTCTAAGAACAAGAAGTACAACAAACATGGCACAGATGCAAAAGAATACAGGATGTATCCTATCCTCTATTACATTAAAATTCACAATGATTCAAGGCAAAAAGACAGCCCAAATCATGAAGCCGTTAACAGTAGCCCTCTGTCACCATCTGGTGGCTAGAATGTGTCAGGTACAAGGTTTGCCACTTAACAGGAAAGATGAACACAATCTGCTTTTGGAGGTTGTGTGCCAAATACTGTAAAAGGGAAAATTTCAAGGCAAAACCAAGCAACCCTACATTCCAGCATTACATGCATCTGACTCTCCCCCTTCAAGAGTGATGGTTCTTTCTAGAGATGGAGGGGGAATGTTCAAGCAAATGAGCTACCAGGTTGGTAAAATCTTAGCAGCATAGAACTCCCTAGGGATGTTGGTTAGGAGCTGTGGTTGCTAATGCCAAAGAAGTGGTCAAAATGCTAGCCAAAACAGAAGGCTTATCTTTGCATCAGAGCGACTCCTGGTACTGCACAAGTGGAGTGACTCATGCATCTGTGGGCTACTTACCACAATCCATATCCCTAGCCTCTGATCCCAACAAGAGTCATCATACTGCATGGAGATGGAGAAGATACCACTGATGTAGTCAACTAAACCCTGCTCCATCCAATTGGTTTCACAATCACCTATCTGCCAAGGCTTTGCTCGTCACCTGCCTCCTCAAGGGAATGGCCTTTAAAGTACTTTCAGTGATGTAGTTTTAGAGCAACAGTAGTAACTCAACCAGCTCAACTCAACTATGAGACAGTCAGGGACTGCTAATCCCTTTTGGAAAGAGGATTAGACAAATCTATGGAGGATAAGGCTATCAGTGGCGACTATCCACGATGACTGTGTTCTCCCTCGACTGTCAGAGGCAGTATGCCGCTGAATGGCAATTGCTGGGAATCACAAGCGGGAGGAGAGCTGCTGTGCTCTGGTCCTGCTTTCACACTTCTCAAAGGCATCAACTGGCCTGATCCAACAGGCTCTTATGTTCTTAATCCCAGTCCAATGGCTGCTGTTCTAAGTAGACTAGAGGAATCAGCATGGTACCACCTCATCAGCCATCACTGCACCAAAATTATGGTGCTGGATGCATCCCGTGTGTTGGCACCATGGCACAAGAGTAGCTGGTATCTGTATTCAGGAAACAGAAGCTTGTGACATGAGTGCCAGGCGGCATCCCACTTTCATACTAAAGCTACTTCACATGTTATCAGAAAGATTAATTCCCATTTGTTTATCAAGTGCCACACTCACTAATCTGTGGAGAAAGTAGACATCTGAAGACACACTTTCAACATAGCCCCAGGAACCAATACGGTGTAGAAGTTTGCATGTTGCAGTGGATCTGGGAGACCAGGGTTCAAATTACCACTCAATCATGAAGCTCACTAGGTGAGCTTGGACAAGTCGCAATCTCTCAGTCTAACCTACCTCACAGGGTCATTGTGAAGACGAGAGTGCCATGTTGGGATCACAGACTAGGGATGTGGAATGCAGTAAGTAGTGGGATATAAATGTAATTCTAATAATAATAGCTAAATTCACCCTCTGGGCAAGGGTTTATTCCACTGCCTTCAAACAGGTGTGTCCCCTCATCCCACTGCTTTGAGAGTCATGAAGGAGAAATTAAAAACTGTGTTTAACATATCATGCAAATCTGCCCTCCCACCAGACCATTTCTAGTCTGGGACCTTTTTTTTCTGGAACAAATTCCAAAGCTATTGTTGATCCCCACCCTCCTTTCACTACTGACAAGTTGTTGGGGGGGGGGGGGAGCCAACCTGATGCCATTGGAGGTACCATACATGAAATCAGTCAGCTTCTAACAGACAACAGCTTCCAACACCTCCAAGAAAGGTGAATGTCCTACTCTTTTGAAACACAGAGAAACCAAAGTGACAAGAGACTCTAGGGAAGGGGGGGAGGAATCTGCCAAGAACACGTGTTAAAATATTTGAAGAGTTTCCTATTAAAATTCCCTTTTATATTGTCCATTTACTTTTTTCAAATATTAGACAAACTTCAAAACCATACACCACACAAACATACCAAGCAATCTCAAAACACGATTGACTAGTATGCACCCCCACCCAGTATAATAGTTCCTCTCTTGCAGCTTCATAAAATATTTCATTTTTTTTCTCCTTTAAAGTCTTCTCTTTAATACAAGTCTCCCTGCTCCATCTCCCATTATACATCTCTACCCCACAACCCAACCCACCCACCTTTGAAGCTACAGCCATTAAAATAAACTCCCATAAAAAAACCTCCACACTTCCTTTGAGGCAAAGCAATGATACAGCCTGTCTCACTGAACTCATGAAAAACAACAAACAGCTATTTCAAAGCATGCGCCTGTGGAATTACAAGAAGCCTTAGACTTACACATTAGTGGAAGGAGTGTGGAGGAACTTAAGCCTGCACACCATGTAGATTTCACTTGTTTTGAAATAATTTTAAAAGACACAAAAGGTGTTATATGATAGGATAAAGGAAAACCAACATTTTGAATATGTCTTAGGTACTGACTACACTCAAACTGTCACAGACAATCACACTGTTTAACATTATACAATTTGCTTATGGTAGGCATCTCTATATATAGACACTCATATTTAAGATTATTAATAAGGTATCACCACACACCATCTCTCAATCCTGTACTTGGCAAAGTCCAGGCTTCTTTTTAAACACAGATATAGCCAAGTGGAACTTTGCAAAGTCAATGAGGAAAAGGTGAGACAGCTTAAAAAGGTCTGAAGTCCTTCCTGATGTGAGATACCGATGAGCTAAAATGCCACAATTTTTGCAGCACCAGTCTTTACATGTATTGATAAATAATTAACTCAACGTAAAACTGAACAAAACAACTAAGCAAGCCCTTGAAAAAAAGAAAGTTCACACAGGAATACAGGGAAGAGAGATGCCATTAAGAATTGAATGCAGTTATTTCAGTGACAGCATAGCATGCAGACAAGCCCTTGAGAAATATTACTACCACACACACACCCCTTCCCCCCCAAAAAACAATGTAACGAAGATTACAAATAGTATGACAGGCAACACTTGCACGCACACATGCCACTGGTAACAAAACAGAGGCACCCAGGAGGGGAAAGAGAAACTTGCAACAGGGCTAGAACGTAAGATGGCAGAAGAAACACAGAGCAGAACTTTGCAGAAATTGTTTTACTTCTGCAGTGAACCTTGGACACAAATATATGAGCTCATGGTTATTAACCCATTATGCGGGATGGTGAGGAGATAGCAAAAGAAGCCACATTTTTACCTCCTTCCAAGACAGGCTGTAAAGGTTTCAGTCAGAATGAATTCATGAAAAGCAGCATGTTGTTGGCAGGTGGATGGGAGGGAGAGGCGAACACACACTGCACATGCACTCCACACACACACACACAAAGATCCAAGAGACACACAGTAAGATTTTACAATAGGTTCTTAGCACCTTTGGTTGGCAACTGTAGAGGCAGTTTGAGATCCTAGGAATTGTAGATGCGAATGTTCTTCCATCTCACTCACCTAGAGAGAGATGCAGATGGGGAAATGTGCAACAAGCAGGCCCTCCTCCTACCCACCTCACTGGAAGGATGATGGAGTTAAGTTAATAAGAACAGGGCTCACTCTCACTGCACAACTCTTCCATCCCTCCTACATTGGAAGATGGATGTGTGGCTCCTCTCCTTTTCATCGTAGCAGGTTTCAGGAAGGGGACACACATGCCTCAGACTTTAAGAAGAGGAAGGAGCAGGGCACAAGACTGACAACTTAAGAAGGCTGAAGAAACTCTAGTTTGGCCCGCCACAAAAAAAATGTGCAGGGTGTCTTAGAACCAGGACTGAGAAATGGTTCAAGACAGATGGAAGTGATAGAATGTGCCCAGGCTGACTCCAAGGGCTACCACAATTATCAAGTTAGCACTTTTGGCATATGCAAGGAGGAAGAGTGCCCAGCAGCAGAATGAAAATTTAGGGCACATAAGTTTCCCCAGATGTTCTGTAGCAGCCCCCACCTAATCATAGTGATCTACTCTCCAACCTCCCTTCCCCTTAAAAAGCTGCTTCTTCCTAGGGTCAATACAATCTCACCAAAGCTACAGATATAAGAGCAAGGTGACGGGTACAGAGGTGTAGAGAGTTGGAAAACAGGAATGCAGACTCTGCCTGTGTTGACCAAAGGATCTCTGTTTCATTAAAGAGGATGGAAAAGCAAATCCTTCCCCTCTTAAAGATACGAACCCATTCACCCAAGTTCTTATTCACCAGGTCCAAATCAGCGCAACATAACCCTTGAAGACAAAAGGGAAACTCATGCCCCACCATAACCCCTAGCAGCTGTGACATTTGGAAACTTCAAACACATCCATTCCCATTCCTCTACTACCGTCTTAATTTCCAAGCAAAGAGAGAAAGAATGGATAAGGAGGAGAGAGAAGAAAACAGGCATTCACACCATGCATGATCTTGCAGTAGAGCCTCCCTGTCCCTTCCCCCTCCCCCCAACTGCGCTGAAGGAAGAAGGCAGCCTCTCATTTGCTGCCTCCACCACCACCTCCAGCTGCTGCCACCTTTTCGAAATCCTCTGCATTGCAGAATTCCTTGATGGTGACCGTCAGAAGGTTGCTGGTGACATCAGTGACCACCACATTAGAGCAGGGAGACATTTCAGGGCGCCAATCCCCAGCCTCCTGCTCTGGGTCAGAAGAGGATGGAGATGATGGCATCTGACCCCCTCCTCCAGAAGGAGAACGCTTGCTGGTGGCTGCCGATTCTGGTGGAATTGACAGATCAAGGACTTCCGATTCACGCCAGTCAGGAATGGCTGGGCTTAGTGTCTCAGGAAGCAGCTTTGGTGGGGAATCATCTGGATCCGATGAGGAGTGTGGAGCTGGTGAGGGGCAGTCAGAGGAGCTCGAACTGCGGGCATCATAGGCAGAAGAGCCCATGAGCCCACAAGAGGCACCCTGGGAGCCTCCTGCCTCTGTCTTCCCCTCCAAGGATGGGACTGGAGTGGACGGCTTGTTGTACAGCGGGAAGTTTCCAAACTTCATGTGGCGGATCTGGTTACGAAGCATGCTCTCGCTGAATTTCTTGCTCTTGCCAATGACACGGTTTCGTGAAGGTATCTTGGATCGAGCCAAACTTCCTCCCCTGCTTCCCACTTTCCCATCTTTATCAATCACCTTCAGGTTGAGAATAATGCGACTGCGCTTGGGCTCACGTGGCTTCACCTTGCGGTTGATGATGCGGACGGTTTCTGAAAAGGGAGAGACAGGAGGGCGGATGCCAGTGCCCCCACCAACTCCACTATTCTGGGGGTCTGGGCGGGGCAAAGGGCGTCGAGACATACGGTGACATCGCCGGATGTCCTTCTTCAGTCGGTGCACTGCAGCACTGGAGTGGAGTTTGGGAGAGGATGTGCTAGAACCAGGCTTGACAGAAAAATGTACATCCCCAATGTGTAGGGCCTCCGCCTGGGCCCGAGCCTGCAGTGGAAAAAATGGAGTTAGATGGGAATAAATCACATTCTGCATACTAAACTGCAGGCACCTGCCATCTTAAGGATACGAAGCCTAACTGGAGGAAGTGGAGGCTGAGCTCTGCACAGGCCTGGATTTCAAACTTAGCATGTCCCCAACCCAAAATGAATCCATCTGACCAAGCATAAATCACCCTAATAAAGGAAACCATGAAATCCATTTCCATACATTTTCATCCTGGGTTTTGAATTACAGTTTGGGATACTGGGATTGTTCAAGACTTAAAGTACATTAGGAGATGCTCTTCAAAGAACATTTGTCAGTTATTACTGAGGCTACTCATTTAGCAGACTGCAGCACAGCACAAGTTAAAATCTACCAAAACTTCACGTGTAACAGGAGAGTTTGCAAAGTAAGCATTTAAAAGAAAGGCATATTTCCCTCCCCTGTAATATGTACAAACAATGTCTTGAGGTGACTTGCAGCCAGATCATTACATCCACCACTTCTTAGAAGTAAAGCTAACTAGGATAAAATCGGGTCTCCCACAAAAATGAACTATAAATGCAATTAATTCCATTTGGAAAAGGTTTATTCAATCCTGCTTTAGGTCATACAAAAGCTTTCCCACTCTGTGCAACAAAACAGCAGAAATCCATTTGAAAATTATCAGGGTCTGACTAAACCATAAGTAAACGAAGCAAGATTTAAGAAAGGATATTATGCTATAAACATGCAGATTAAACCTTTAAATATACAATATTAGGACACATAGACTATTGGCTAGGAATATAGGACAGCCTTCTCCATCTTCAGCTGGTATGTTAGGCTACAGGTATTCCTGGACAGGCATAACTTGGTTATAGTGATGCAGGCCTTGGTAACCTCTAAACTGGACTACTGCAATGTGCTCTATGAGGATTTTCCCTTGAAGTTGGTTCAGAAATTACAACTAATGCAGCTAAACTGAGCTATGGACCTTATTTGAGGAATTTAAGTGCAGTTTCCCCAAAGTTCCTCTATTAAGATACAACTATAGCTTCCAGCATTAGAGTGAGCTGAGACATTCCTGGTCAAATCTCATCCCATCCATGAAATGAGTACTCTTGGGTCACCTATAAGCCATGATGATGATACTGATCTATGTTCAAAGTCATTATGAGGATTACTAAATTAATATCCCTTCTGTCCTTGTAAAAAAGGATAATAATAATAATAATAATAATAATAATAATTTATACCCTGACCATCTGGCTGGGTTTACCCAGCCGCTCTGGGCAGCTTCCAACAAAATATTAAAATACAATAGTGCGTCAAACATTAAAAGCTTCCCTAAACAGGGCTGCCTTCAGATGTCTTCTAAAAGTCTGGTACAGTGGTACCTCGGGTTACATACGCTTCAGGTTACATACGCTTCAGGTTACAGACTCCGTTAACCCAGAAATAGTACCTTGGGTTAAGAACTTTGCTTCAGGATGAGAACAGAAATAGTGCTCCGGCGGCGCAGCAGAAGCAGGAGGCCCCATTATCTAAAGTGGTGCTTCAGGTTAAGAACAGTTTCAGGTTAAGAACGGAACTCCGGAACGAATTAAGTACTTAACCCGAGGTACCACTGTAGTTGCTTTTCTCTTTGACATCTGGCGGGTGGGCATTCCACAGGGCAGGTGCCGCTACTGAGAAGGCCCTCTGCCTGGTTTCCTGTAACTTGGTTTCTCGCAACGAGGGAACTGCCAGAAGGCCCTCAGCGCTGGACCTCAGCGTCTGGGTGGAACGATGGGGGTGGAGATGCTCCTTCAATTTAGTTTTATATTACACTGTTGAATTTGATTTAGTTTACTGTAAAAGGTCCTCTCACTTTCAGAAAACTAACACCCCATTGTGTGATGCTTACAACTAGACATTTAATACAGATCAGCTCAACTGGCCAACTCATTAAATGTGCTAACAAAAATAGCTAACTTCTGTATTCAAATACCATCAGACTAACCAAATGTATCTATCCCGCCCCCCCTTAGTTCAATTAGCTTTTCCTACCATCTGGTGCCTGCAACAAGAATTGCAGGTGAATGCTTCTGTTCCTTTCCATTTTCTTCCTACTTACTTTCCCACACAGATATATAAGCACCAAAGACTCTGGTTATGCAGCAGCTCCAAAAGTAATAATAATAAACTAGGAATAGAAAGGAAGGGGATAATAGAGAGATGCTATCATAGGAGAGACAACTGAATGTAAAAGGAGTAGGAAGCGGGGATGAAAGAAATTGGCAGGGGGTGGGGTGGGCAGAAGTACAAGATAGGTGTGAAAGGAAAACAGGAGTACAAATGACAAGAGATGAGTAAAAAATACTTTGAGTGGCATGAGGGGGAGGGGAGGGGAAAATATACAAGAAGCTTTCTCTACCTAGAGCCTCTGGATCAGCAAATTCTACCTAAAAAGGGAAGGCTGAGTCACAACACCTTCAAAGCCAATGCCTACACTTTACTTGAGACAACACGCAAAAAGTAGTGTTACAATTCAGCTAGTTTAAATGCATGCAAAATAAACAGCGTTCCATCATTGCAATAATTGCTGATAACACAATCACCTTGCCATACATATTGTACTTTCTTTCCAGTGCTGAGGAGTGACTCTCTCGTCAACCAGCAAGGTAAGTTGACATAGCAGAGAACATCATCAGAATCTCATAATTTCCACCTCCCATGCACCTATGGCACTGTACTAATTTTCTAAATAACCTCTCCCTCTTCTAGTGTTTAATATTGCAAATCCCGTACTACAGTACTAGCAACGTACTTAATAAATGTCCACACCTTTAAGAGAAGCCCCGCAAAATGATAAAGAAACTGGAAGTGGAGACATAAGAATATAAAAGCAGTTCATCTATATTTCTTTGATCAGGAAACCCAGTTTTGGGAAATGAATGTAATGTTAAATGTTAATGCACTAAGAATTAGTCAGACTACAGATGTGTACATTTGTGCTTTTTGCTACATTTTAAAAGTGTTTTTCCAACCAAGTTCACATATCAGTGCATTCAAATTACTACAATACAAAGTTAACATGTTTCTTTCCAATGATGACTTGTGTGAAGTACTTTGCCACACAGAGCATAAACTATGGTTATGATACTACAAGACGCAGCAATGTATGCCAATTTGGATGGGCTTTAAGAAGTGTTTAGACAAATTCATGAAGGAAAAAACTATCAATAACTACTAGTCATGATAGCTGTCTACTACCTCCAGCATCAGAGGTGATATGCCTATGAATACCAGCATGAGAGCATGATTATATTCAAGTCCTGTTTGTGGGCTCCCCAAAAGCATTTGGCTGACCACTGCTAAAACAGGATGCAGCATGGCTCTTATGTTCTAATGTCTGTTTCCATATATTCATGAATTTCTTATACTTCTGGGTTTTTTTTAAAATCCCCCTTAAGCAGAAACTGGATTCTTTGGTTATACCTTGCCAGAAGTTCTATTTTTAATATTTGTGTCTTTAGGGGAATACCACTCAGTGCTATACTTATTTTATTCTATTGATTACTCATAGTTCAGCTTCCACTTCTGCAAACCTACATAAACAGAAAATATTGGCACATTAGCTGTACAGGTAGGAGTTTTTGTCTTTTGTTAGAAATCATTCAACCCTTCCTTCTCAGACATCCCATTTTGCAGACCAAACCTTCTGCACACCCTGGAAGTGAAACATTGCTATCAGTTCAGAAAATAAACTCAGAAGCAATGATGAACATAGGAAGCTGCCTTATACTGATCGAACTCAGAATGATTGATACTGACTGGCAGTGGCTGTCTAGAGTTTCAAGGCAGAAGTCTCTCCCAGCCCTATGTGGAGATGCTGGGGGCTGAGCCTGGGACATTTTGCAACCAAAGCATGTGCTCTTAGCACTGGGCAGATAGCAATAGTAGGCAGGATTATCTTCTGTCCAGGTTCCATCACTGGAGACAGGGGTATTGCCTCTACCCTCACCTGACTCTAGTGTATGCAAAATTCCACAGCTACACAAACAGTACTGAATTACAACTTTCAGGATCTTCCCCCGCCCCTATTCCACAAAGCTGTGTCCAGAACTTGAGTAGGAGTTGCTTACTAGAACTCAAAGACTTACTGCTACAAGGCATATTTTCCATGAACTATAACAAACAAACTCGGATAAAATTAGTCCTCAGCCACACAGCCCAATGGCCAACTGAAGGAGATTGTGTTCTACCTGGCCCGCCCAGCGCTTACCCCTTCTCACAGAAGGTTAACCCAATTTTCTAGCAGCTATATACTCACGAAAAGCCAGTAAAATGTACATAACTGCAAGCATTTTCTTGCATGCTTTTAAATCAGTAACTTCTCATGAACATAGTATAAAGCACCTGATGTACTGACCCAAGGTAATATATAAAGGGATGTTTTTATCCATTCTGAGAGTAAAAGAAGTCGTGCAGACCACTCTACTCATGCGGTTAAAATTCTCCCTTTATGTATTACCTTGAGTCAGTAAATTTCTAAATGATTGTTTATACTGTGTAGCAACTGTGTTCAAGTTGCTAAAATCATCAGTTTCTGCTCTGGGAGTTTCAAACATCTTGTAACTACATGAGCAAAGCTCTCCTCACCTGATTCCCCCTGGCTGAGAATAAAAGAAATGGCACTGAGGGAGATAATGAGGGTTCCAAAATTCTAACTTAAATAAATTATAGAAGATTAAAAGCAAAACTGATTTTTAAGTGAACAGAGAAATTACTACTTGTCAAAGAATGCAGCCCCTCCCCCCATTTCTCTGTAGACCACAAGCTACATCCTGCAAACTGTGACTGGGAAATTCCCTAGAGAACTAACAATCCATTACTTGCTACTGACCGTCTAATTTATTCCTACTAGCTTACATCTACCCACCTTCATGTTTACAATTTATACGATGACCCAGCAACACATTCTTTGCAAGCCAGAGAGTTGCTCAGTACAAAGCAGGTCATACATAAGTTAACGCATTATAGCATGACAAAGTGGCCCTGTACTTACACAAGGCCAAGCTGATGTGAATACAATATTTTCGTTTCCATTATCCCAGAGCACCTGAATACTATCTTGGAAAGCATTTGAAGTGGTTGTTGTTGTTACTGTTGTATCACCATCAATTCAAATGCATTCCAAGATAGTGTTCAGGTACTCTAGGAGAATGTAATAGAGCTGGGTCCAAATTTGCCTCAAGTGTTTCATACTACACAAAGGACGTACATGCCGCAAACCTGGAAATAAGCGTTCCAATTTGCGAACATTTTTTGGAAGCTGAACGTCTGTTTTGGCTGTCAGCATTGTTTCCGGGGCCAATGAGAAGCCGCACCTTGGTTTGTAAACGTTTTGGGAATCGAACGGACTTCGCGAACAGATTCCATTTGACAACCAAGGTACAACTGTACTCTAGTCCCCAGAGTACTGCCATCAACCTTGCTGCCATTTTGGTGTCTTTTTGTTTTCCTGGGCATTTGGGTACCACCAATGATTTGACACATGGTTAAATCTATGTTTAAAATAAGGTTTATGTGATTTTATAATTGCATTTTTTACTTTGGTTGTAAATTGCTTCAGGACATTTAGTGGGAAGCAATGTATAAATTTAATAAATTGAAACCACTGCCTGGGAAAATGAGTGGACCCTCACAAATATATTAAATTAGTCATCCTTAGCTTAATATAGCAGTGGGGAACTTGCAACCCCTCAGATATTGTTGAATTACAACCGTAATTAATCCTGACCATTGGCCATGCTAGTTCTTATGGAGCTCAGGATTTTCTGAATCATTTACATCTGCAAATAAGCTATCCAGTTAGTTTCCAGATCAAATCAATTATCATACCACCTATGTCATCAGAAGTCAAACACTAGACAAAGTCATCTTTATAAGTCCTGAATGAATATTTAGGAATTTGCTGAGAAGAGTGGTAAAATTTACACAACCAAGGTTTTCTTAGTCCTGACAAAGTGCAAATATCCACTTTGGGTGTTAAAATCTTTATTCTCCATGATGGATCATCCTTTTCCAAACTGGTTTATACTGGTTTAAATGCCAACTCTGCAAACCCTCCTCAGCATTTGAGGTTCAGATTTCTACCCATGCTTCCAAAATTCACATCAGTAAGAGCTTCTACTTTAAATGAGCTGAAAGCAGCATTAGTGAGAAACGGAACCCCAGACCACTCTGCCTCTCATATAGTAAGCACTGCCTCAGCAAGACTGGGAGGAAGTTTAAACTCTGATATACTGATATACACATACACTTTTCTCACTTTTTACAGACAAGAAACCTCAAAGCAGGCTTTAGTGCTGCAATCACAATAGCCTTAAACAATTGATATTTTGGACTGTCTGGTCCAGAAAGTTCCTGGGCACTTTAGCATTTCCAAAGTTTAATTATTTTCTTCCAATAAGATTTTAAAAACTACTGGTTTACATTGCCCCCTCTTCAAAGTTCTGAGAAAACACTAAACAACAAAGCCTTCAGACAAGTCCGTGAAAAAGGGTGGCAAAGCACTGGCCCATTTTTAGACAGCAAGAAGTCACGAGGCCAAAAGGCCAACTTACATACACTTTAAGCAATCACTTTCAGTCAAAATGAAGATGGAAAGAGATCAAGAGCATATTTGTAGCTTTCCAATAATTTATGGTGTCCCTGGACACATACTGCAAAATAACATGTGAAGCTTTAATTTCTAACTACTTCCTTTCCCCAGCTGACTCTGTTTTTTGTTTTATTTTTGTTAAGTGTTTTTAGTGGGCAGTTAACCATACTGAAGTTTATCAGATCCCAGAACCTTGAACTGGTTCAATTAGAGCCAAGTTATTAAAGTGAGAGTTACCTTCAGCAGAAAAGTTTTGGGCTTGGGTCCTCTCTTCTTAGGTCCGTACAGCTCACGCTCACGTTCCCTTTGTGGGGGAGAAATTAAACGCTTTTTTAAAAAAAGTCAAACCTCTCCATTCTGCAAACAAAACAAGTGATAACTCCTAACTCTCCCTCTACTGTCCAGAATCAATCTCAAACTCACTTTTGCTCAAAGGCTGCAATTAGACGGGAATCCAAGATGTTCTCTTCAGGTTCCCAAGTGCTGTACCTGCAGAAGTGCAGATGGACACAGTTACAGGCACATGCAAAGGAATGAAGGGGGGGGGAAAGAAATATTAGCACATGCTGAGGAGTTCTTGGTGGGTGGGGAGGCGAAAAGGATAAAGCAACCCTACAGGCACTCTGTGTGTGTGCACGCGCACGCGCGCGCCTTGTGCGCACCCAGGGAAGGGACACATAATATTAGCCCAGCGAGAGGCCCACAGGAGGCGGGAACGGGGCTTCTTCACGCAGACAAGACACAGAGAGGCACTAGGGGGGAACTCACTTGATGGCCCAGCCTTTCCATTTCACCAGGTATTCGATGCGTCCCTGCAAAATACGGGGGGGGGGGGTTGGCAGAGGGGAGGGGGCAGAGATGAGGGGAGGGGGGTAAAATGGGGGGGCGGTGGGGAAGAGGAGAAACGGGAAGCGCAGGTTAAAGAGGTGGCAACGGCAGAAACACCCCCTCCCTAAAAAAAGCCGAGCCCCGGTCTGGGGCCTCGCTGGCCCGCCGCTCACCTTTCGGATCCGTCGCTTGATGATGGATTCGGCCGCGAACACCCGCTCGCCCACTGCAGACAGCTCCATTTTTGTTTATTTCTTATTTATTTCTCTCTCTTTTGCTCAGCCCTCAGCAGCAGCAGCACCCACAGCCCATAATAATCCCGCCCGCTCCCTTGCCTTCCTTCCCTCCCTCCCTCCTCAGTGTGTGACTGACTGACTGACTGACTGAGGCGGGCGAGCGAGGGAACGGCTCTGAGGGCTGCTGCTCCCGCGACAGCGGCTCGAGGGGCTGGCTCGCGCCGTGAACTCGCACGCACGCACGTACGCGAGCGAGCGAGCGCGCCCCCTCCTCCGAGCGTGCTCTTTGCTCGCGCGCGCCGCCACGGGAAAAGGGGGGCCGAGAACGAGGGAGGGAGGGAGGGGGACACGTGACGCGAGTAAAGCCCGCCTTCGGCTTCGCGCGCCCCGTTGCTTAGTTTTCAGGGCTTTGCTTCAGCGTCCCCCGCCTCCCGCCCTCGCCTCCTTCTGAGCGAAGGGAGTAAGGTCTGCAGAGCGCAAGCGCGGACCCTTAAAGGGGCCGTGCGGGCAGCTTTTTGAAGAGCGGGAGGGTGGTGGACGTGCGGCAAGCAGAGGCAGGAAAGTACAGCGTGGACTCGCAGGCGGGGCAGCGCCCCCTCCTCGCGCGAATGTTTCCCGCTATTTCCATTTTCTCAGCGCCCCCCCCCCCCGCTCATGTTTTGCCTCATTTCTCTACTCCTGCCTCTGCTCAGGTTGCGATGGAAGATTATGACCACGATGTTGTCATTGTCGCTGCAAATAAAAGCATCACTTTCGAGGCCTCCGGCAAAGTGCAGCCGGGTTTCAGCTCGATGGGTGCTTAAAAAAAGGGGGGGGGAGCAAATAACTCTGACCCCGCTGAGAGAAAAGCAAAACAGTGGGATTCGAGAGCTTGTAACTCTGGAACATCTTTCTGCAGGGGTGGGGAACATATTTGGAAAATATAGCATATTCTAGGCCTTTTAAAAAGCAAGATTGGAATCGCATTTTCGATTTGCTGCTGAGTGATTTGATGGGGTCTTTGGCTGTAGGCCTTCAGCCTTGCAAAAATGTTGAGGCTTACACCAGCGATGGAGAATCTCCCTCATCCTTTGACATAGGCTATGCTGCACCAATATTTAGTGGGGTGTGCAGTGGTAAGATTTACTATTTTCTTTGCCCCCCTAAAAAAAATAAGAATATGTTTTAAAATGGGGGGGGGGATCCCCAGGGGCTTTAATAGTACAGTATAGTCAATCCTATACTTGTTTACTCAGAAATAAGTTGCACTGTAGTATTTCAGGCTTACTTCTACGGAAAACGTGTTTAGGATTACAGTCTGAAAGTCAACACACATCTCTCTCGTGTACACACACATAAACGCTTGAGAATCCATCTCCTGTCACAATTGGTTGCTCTGATTCAGTCCTCCATACAAAAGGATGTCACAGACAATCCTCAGCTCTCCCTACTCCACTCCTGGGTGTTTATTTTGTGCAGATTTACAGGCAGTGGAAGACAGGAGTGCCTGGCGTGCTCTGGTCCATGGGGTCATGAAGAGTCGGACGCGACTAAATGACTAAACAACAACAACAGGCAATTTGCAGGAAGTGGTGAGGAACATAGGAAACTGCCTTATAAGGAGCAGTCAGAGGTCTCTCTCTGCTTTATCAGGAGATATTGTTGAGTATTGAACCTGGGACCTCCTTATGCAAAGCAGGTGCTCTACCCTTGAGCTACAGAGCCTTCTGCAGGAGGGTAGAGCTGGAAGAAGGAAGCTGGAAATGGATACATAGAAACAAGCTGAATAAGATTTAGCACATCGAGCAATGATGAGGTAAATGGAAGGTCAAAGAAAGGAAATCTTAAAAAATTAACCAGTTCCTCAATTACTTTCATGTGTTTTCTTCATTTGTTGAAGTTATTAGTTCCTGGGAGGAGCGTAGCTCATGCATCTCTGACATTGTAGGGTATGTTTTGAAGCTTCACAGTCACAGATGCTACCAAAGGAAGAGCAATTAATTTCCACCTCGTACGTTACACTATGTAAATAAGAGAAATAGCCAAACAAAATGTGTGAATGGACACTTGGGCATATGGTCAGTGTGTTCATTATCAGACAAGCTCTCAAGGCTCTCATAATAAAAACAAAACTTTATTCAACATTTACATTGAAGTGTGTAGGCAAAAGAAACCTAGTCACTAGCCTACCATGTTGCTAGTGCTGAATAAATACCAAGGACTGATTCACACCTGCATGTGTATCATTCAATAACACATGACTCAATGACTCACAGCTAAAGTTTCAAGCTGTGTTACACACATCCTGCTTCTGAATAGTGAAAACAGCAAGGGTAACAGTTTTCATTGCAGAAGAGTACACTAAAGATTCACAGTGCAATCCTGTGGAGATCTACTTAGAAAACAAGTCACATTGTGCAACATTACTTGCTCCCAGGTAAGCATGTGCAGGATTTCAGCCTTATAGAGTCTTTGTAATGTTTAATTTGCAACTATTACAAAACACAGCATTATGAAAGCAAACCACCACGTGAACAACGTGCAGTAAATATCTTGGCGAGCAACTTCTGTAGCCATCCCCTGAGGCTCTATCAGCCAAGTTTCAGCCCTCTGTCAATTCAAACGGCATGCTGTTGTTCCCATCCCAAGTTGATGTTCATGAGATGACTGAAGTAGCTTCTGAGCTTCCAGTGACTGCTCTGATAAGCTGCAATGGTGCTTGATTACATTTCTGAAGCAATCAGCACTCTGGAGAGCACTTTCTACCTTGTTTTGTTTACAATCAGCAGATGCCCTGAAGGGGAAGCATACAAGGAAATTAAGCATGCAATCACTGTGCAGAGTCAAACTGACGAGGGACTTAATGGAGAAGTCTAAGGTCAGCCACATAATTAGGGCTCCACATGAGTCCATTTGAAATGCTTTCAGTGTCTCCCTTTATCCTGTTTTCTCTCCCTCTGTGGAACCAAGGTGGTAACATCACCACACCCTTGGGATGTTACTATGAGATACTGTGAAAGCTGGTAATATAACTGGCTTAAAAGCCAGTTAGATGAACTGACAGAGAGCATAAATGGTTCTGCAAATTGCAATGCTTCAGAACCAACTTCACATCCATGGCTGGTCTAGATTTCTGTGCACACCCTCCAACTCCCCACAACTTGTTTTAAAGCCATTCAGTCATTTTGATTTATTTGATTATTAGAGTGCAAGAAGTCTGGAATGAGAACTTCCGGGGTGGCGCCACCGGCAATGGCGGACTCCCTCTGAATTGGAGGGACTAGCTCCGCATGAAACGGGTCTTTCCGCTGCGGCGTAGCGGGGACCCTTCTGGAAATCACAGGCGGATGAAGCCTGTGACCGTGGGACTCGGCGGGCACCCTTAGCGCCCCCCCAACCCACAAAGGAACCCACAAACGGGCTCCGAAGTGAAGAGGGGATAGTGGCGCGGTGCTGTGAGTCAATTGCTTTTTCTGCGGAGCGAAGCCGCATAGTCGTTGCCGGAGAGCGCTGCCTTTTTCCTGGGACAATTTGGCATTTAAAACAACCAACCGTGAGTACTGGAACATTGAATATTTGGACTTCAAATAAGAACTGGCGAAATAAAAAGGAATTTGGACTTAAAAATCAACCATAATTTGGTACTGAAACGGGAAGGTTTAAACAGGAAGTCACCCTCCCGTTTCCTCGTAGTCAGAACAAAGCAAAGACAACGCAAACTAGAGCCTTAAAAATCACTTTTAAAGGATCAACTTTCATCATTTAAAATCGCTGAACCCCCCTTCGGTAGCAGGGGAAGAAGGGGGACCTTTTCTGAGCTGCTTAAACCTGCAGAAGTGAATCTAAAGTAAAGTAATTTTCCACCGTCCTGACCCTGGAGCGGGGTGTCAGAATTGACGTTTGAAGCTCATTGACCAGAAACAAATGTCTTTGACAGATAGTTAAAAGAAGAGAAATATTGTGACTCCATTGTTTCTCTTCGTCTTTTAAAAGAACAAATATGGACAAAATATCTTAAAAAAGAAACTTTGTTGCTATTGTTTTCAAGAAAAAGAACAACCAGAAGTTTTTCCCCTAGTGGGGAACTGTGAAATTGTAACTAATTCCTGGGAACTTGCAGCTGTCACTGATTACAACTGTGGGAAAGGATTTGTGACCTTGTAGGACAATGTCTTCAGAAGCACTGTTGGGTGCTTTCTGTAAAATAAATGCCCTATTGGATCAGTTAAGTCAGAAGACGGATTTCATGACTAATGCGGCCAGAACCTTTGAACAGGTAGTGGGAAACTATATGGAGCCCACCCAGGAATCAAAACAGGAGCGTGCCATGACAGAACAACTGAAAGAAGAGGACCTTGCTGAATCTTGGGCGCCAGAGACGGAGGGAGCTGCGGCCCAGCAGGAATATAAACTCTTGGATTTGATAAATGAACTTGGAAAAAATCAGACTTGGAAAGATAAAATCTGGTTTGGTTTGGAAATGGGGGGTTGGATAGACCCCCCTTTACAGGGAGATTTGGACTTTTCAAGTCTGGAAAGAGGCCGTCAGATGTTTGGAGCTGTGGGGGCTCTCAACTTTGAAGGGAATCTGGAGCATGCTTGTAAATACTACATCGAGCCTATCCTGGACTATGGAAAAGGGATCATCTTGCTGAAAAGGGTCAAAAACACTACCAAGCTGGAGTTCCCACGAATAAAAGGGAAATATAAAGAAGAGATACGAAAGGGACGTGGAAGAGACTTGAGGGCCTCGGATATAAGATTGCCAGGTTAATGTGCTAGATTAATAGGATAAAAAGGACTGACAAAACCTGGGACCAGGAGGAAGGGATGTTGGATGAAGACTGGGTTGCTTTTTTCTTTTATTTTTATCATTAGGACTGTTTTATAAAATTGATGAATGTTAGGAAAATGTTGAAATGAAACTATTTGGCTCTTATAAAAATGTCTAAAGAACTAGGTAAGAATGTTATGGTTTAGGAGAAGTTGGTAAAAATTAAGATTTAAGTTTTAAACTTTAAGGTTTTCTATAAGATAAGATGAAAATAGATCAAGGTAATGTGATGACAGAATACTATGAATTATGGAAAGGATTTGCTGTGATTATTATAAAACAGGATACAGGAAAAGGGAGGAGGAGGTGGTCAAGGAAAGAAGGTATTGAAAGTGGAGAATTGGAGAATGATGGTTTTATTTTTATTTTCTTTTTTTTTTTCTGTCTTGTTTTTTCCTTTGTGTAATTCTTTTTAAAAAAACTCTTTTTTCAATAAATATCATTTAAAAAAAGAGAACTATAGCGAGGGGCAAGCTATTCATTTTGTAAATACAGTTCTTTACAGTGGTAAATGTTATGAAAAAGCATCAATACATCAGATCTGGATTGCTAAGGCACACAGATAAGGGCTCTCAGCTTCACAGTTACAGAACTTCCTACCTCCCCCCAGCCACCCTGCCTCCCTCAAAGGCTAGCTTGCATACACTGAGAATGGGTTAAATATTCATATCTGAAAAACATGGATTGTAAAAAAGTTGAAAGCTGCCCTTGAATTGCAGACCCACCAGCCAAGGACAGTTTTGCATTTATGTTGACATCCAGTTTGATGAAGGTTAAATCTTCCTGCTGCAAGTGCTTCATAGTACTGAGACACCTTATTTGTCATCACAACATGGGAGGCTGCCTTATACCAGGCCCAGACTGTTTGTCCAATGAGCCCAGTAGTGTTTATGCAAGCAGCAGCTTGCCAGCATCCCATACAGAGTAGGACTAACCAAGATCTCTTTAACTGGAAAATGCAGGGATTGAACCTGGGACTTTCTGCAAGTACTGTATATGCATGCTCTACTAATCCCTGCAGGAATCCTTGCTCCAAGCTTGCAGAAGCATGCATGCCTCTCTGTATTATTTTTACTACATAGCCTTGTCAGTCTAGGGCAGTTGTGGGGAAAATTTGGCCCCCCCAGATGTTGCTGAGCTACAACTCTCATCAGCCTCAGGAAGCATGGCCAATGGCCAAGGATGTTGGGAGTTGAGGTTCGTCAAAGGTTCCCCACACCTGATCAAGGAGTTCCAGATGTTGTTGGACTACAAGTCCCATCATCTCTGACCATTGGCTAAGTTGTCTGGGGATGATGGGAGTTGTAGTCCAACAACATCAAGGGACCAAAGGTTGACAAATACTGTCGATACTTCAGTCTAGGTCCTAGCAATATGGATGTGGGAATAGGGAATGGAGAACTTGTGACCCTTCAGATGTTGTTGGATTCCTGACTCCCATGGTCAAGGGTCAGAGATTTGGGGAGTTATAGTCCAGCAACACCTGGAGAGCTGCAGGTTCTGCATTCCTGCTCTAGCCTCAAGCCTTGGCGGTGGCTCTTAACTCAATTATCATTATCTTAGCCGCAGTAATGCTTACCCAGCTGCCTCATAACTTCTGCAGCACTGTTTGGCATGCTATTCAACTCATTACATTATGGCAATGCCTCTTCTTACACTTTTAAGACAGCATATTTCTTCTATACTATCACTTCATTCAAAATAACAGTGCCAGGGTTTAATGTGTCAGATTCAAACCAGTGCTTAACCATGCGGTAGACCTAAGAACAGCCTATTAAGTCACTTTTGTAGCACTAAAGTAATTTCACAGACAGATGGATAGGTTATTGATCACCCCTTTCAAGTTAGAATACTTACTGTGTGGTATTTTCCTTTAGACATATGTGCCAGCAAGAAAGAGAGAGAGGTTGTATTAGGTTGTTTTTTATATTAAAAAACTCATCCGCTTGTTTAGTACAGCACTGTTGTGTCAGCCAAATGGTGGACATTTTGACTGAAAGCTTCCTCTCTCTCTTATTGGCTCAATGCAAGCAGCTTCCAGACAGCTAGCTTGAAGTGTAGATTCAAAACACTTAACCTTCATCAAGTCCTCCCATCCTGTCCAACAGCTATGGAAACCTATGCAACTATCTAGATAGCAACTCTCATCATTTGAAGACTTGCTGTTGTATTCTGCAGGACTGTGGACATTACCTTTGAAGAGCAGATCCCAGCTTTGGGTCCCAGGCACATTTCAGCCCCACCCCTTCACCCTCAAATTCCAAAAGCAGTTTGTTGGAGAGCTGTATTCAATAAAGAAAAACCTTGGTTGGTTGCAAATAATTTATTTCAAGGGCCTCTGGCTGGTAGACCAGCTAAGCTTGCACGGATCAGGTTTCCTGATCTTTTTCAAGTCTTCCCCATTGTGATTAGGAGTGAGAAATTTGTGGCTCCTCAACTCCTATTGGATTACAGCTCCCACCTTTCCTCACCATTGGCCATACTGGGTCACACCCACACATTTAAAGCACTCTTATTCCACTTTAGGAGTCATGGCTCTCCTCCAAAGAATCTTGGAAACAGTAGCTTGTTATGGGAGCTGAGAGCGTTAACAAACCAGATTTCAAGATTCTTGGGGCAGGGGGAGCCATGAATAAGAGTGCTTTAACTATATGATGTGGATGTGACCTTGGTCTAGTTCAAGAGCACATGATCCACCACAGAAATCTGTTTAGGCACACAGATAAACCGGTTTGTGTGGAAGTCAGAAATCTATTGTGTTAACTCAGCACTCCCAGAATCCCGCTATTTTGGGGTGGGATTCAATCATATACTGGTAAATTCAGGTTGCCCAGCTGTAGTTGCTAGGGAATTTTTATGCAACAAACCCGTTTCTCCAAAAGATCAGATTTTTTTTGCAGTAAGGTGAAATGCACCAGAAAGCATGAGATAACACTTGCTTTGATGCAGCGGCATCTAACCTCTCTGCCAACCAATCAGAATGAACTGCTCATCAAATAGCCAACATCATCTTATTTACCAGAAAATATATTACGATGAATGCTCAATAAACCAATGGTCTGTGGACCAGGAGCCTTTCCTTTCCTTTGCCTATTCCCCTGTCTCAGACACTGATGGGTGCATGGGCAGAGCTTTCTTTCTGTTTTTCCTGCCCCACCCTCAACTCTGCAAAATATCCACAATACAGCCAGAATGTTGGTTTATGTCTTGAACTGCTGCAAGCTGGCAGCTGCAGAAAGCCTGAGATTCTTACTCCAGTGCTCTTTGCTACAGTAATTCTTTAGCAACGCCGCATACGGCCAGCTGTTGAAATCTCTTTCAGTTATGATACTGGTCCCCGGAGATCTGGCTACAACTCCGCTTATGAAGTAAGTTTAGAAATCAATGCAGTGTCTCCCTCTTCATACCTCCTTGTGTTCTGAGAGACCAGTTGACGGGGAAGCTTATTGCAGCAAGAGGGTGAAGACAGCTTGGCTTCCTCACAGCCCATCCGATCTCTGGCTCTTGGCCCCCTTCTTATCCAGCTTCCACTTCTGCCTCCGATTCTGGACTGCTCTCTGCCACGGCCTATTCCTGCTCACTAAACCCTGTTTCCTCTTCAGCTTCTGACACCTCCTCTTCCCAGTCTTCCCCCTCTGACCACTCATCCTTGTCCCACCACCAATCCCCTGAGCTCTGAGCCTTCTTCCCTTGGGGGTTCCACTGCTGGTACCTCCCACCATTCCTCTGCATCCAGCCAGTCCATGACAGCAGGTTAGGGCTGGGACTGAGCCGACTAGCTGGGTATCTTTTTTCAGCCCAAGGGCCACATTCCCTCATAGGGAACCTTCCAAGGGCACAGCTAGAGGCAAAAAATGGGCAGAGAAATTTTGTTTATTAAATTCATATCCCACCCTTCCTCCCAAAGGAGTCTAGGCAGTAACGAACGCAACTCCATGTTAGCAGACTGTATTCCAGCCATGTAGAATCCAGCAGTTTTTCACCTCTCCACTCAAGCAAGCAAGAAGCAACCACTACAGTTCAAGGCCCCATTTGTTCTTCTTGTTGTTTAGTCGTGTCCAACTCTTCGTGACCCCATGGACCAGAGCACGCCAGGCACTCCTGTCTTCCACTGCCTCCTGCAGTTTGGTCAAACTCATGCTGGTAGCTTTGAGAACACTGTCCAACCATCTCGTCCTCTGTCATCCCCTTCTCCATGTGCCCTCCATCTTTCCCAACATATTTTCCAGGGAGTCTTCTCTTCTCATGAGGTGGCCAAAGTATTGGAGCCTCAGCTCCAAGGCCCCATTTAGAGCTATGCAAAAGCACTCTTGGATCAGGGCAGTAAGGCATAGTGGGTACACAGTCTTGAAGGTGCTGCAATTGCCAGGGGATTCAATATGCAGCAACCTGAGGGTGTTCTGAATACAGGCACCCCAATTGTGGAACTCTCCCAGCCTCGATACAGTGTCTTATAAGCTTTGGTGCCCAGACAACTTATTCAATTTGGGGTTTAGTCCATGTTGTTTCACTTTGCAAGCTACTATTTAACTGGGTATGCGCTCTGGCCTTTTTTTACTGTTTCCTGATAGACTGTGTGGTTTTATAGTGTTTTATCAGTATTGTACCCCGCTTTAGGATTCTTTAATAATAAAAGCAGCATAAACAAGTTTTATAAAGTGAATAAAAATAAATAAAAGAGAAAGTGAAATTCCAAATGCTAGATAGAGAGCCTGAGAAGCTGGTGGTTGTCTGCGCACCCAGAGGTCAAAGGTTCCTCAGCCCTGGTCTAGTCACTCTGGCTGTGTGCTATTCTCAATATAGTAAAAAGAGTGGAATGGGCTATTTTTATATATACACACCCACACATATACCACAGATGCTTCCAGAAAGAGGGCCTAGCAAAGAACAACTTCAGACAATAAGGGTTGAATGAAGACACAGAAACAGGATGTTAGTTAAATGTCAATTCTCATTTATTTTATTTTAATAATCTTGTTTGCAACATTTACCACATAAATCATCTAAATAAATAGATGCTGTACAGTCTCTTAACCATCGTCAGTACAAAAATAAAGCTGCACGTTGAGTCAATTAAAACTCGCTCTGGCCCTCTCATTTGTATTACAATCTCTGTTTGCATCAAACACTCACTCACGCACAAAAAGGCATTAAAACTTTGATATATGTCTGTATCTCTTAAATTTCGTTTGGAATTTTGTTCCCTCAGCCCCTCCCTCCCCCAATACATTCAGTTAGTCTGTACAAAAACATAGCAAAAACAAAGAACTGAGAAGCTCATTCTGTGCAAAGGAAGCTTTCGTGTGCAAAGGTTTAACTTGGGCGTCACGTCAAGAAAACACCAAATTGGATTTCAGGCCAAAAAGGAGAAGGAAAAGAAAACCACTGAGCGCACACGCAAATACACACACGGAAATTCAAACTTTTTTTAAAAAGCAACACCTCAGGTCAGTTTCTCTTTTCCCACCCGTTCATAACTACTTTGCCCCTTTCTAGCTCCAAAGAAAACAATATAGAATCAAGCAACTAACTCAGACCGAGAGACCAAACAGTGCAAACAAGGAAGAACATAGTTCAGACACCCCACCCCCCTCGACAGGATATGGCAGCCGTCAGTAACCTGGTGTCCTCCAGATGTTTTGGACTACAACTCCCATCAGCCCCAGCCAGCACAGTTATAGTAGCCAGGGCTGAGGGCAGTTGTTATGGACAATATGTTTACCACTTTTTACCTCAAAGCATACTTTTTGTGCCTCAAAGCGACTTGCGTTATAAATATTAAAACCAAATATAAAAGCAGCAAGAAAAGAAGGCCTAAAGTGCTCATCCAAGAAGATATTGATAAAAGGAACAAATCCTACTCGCCTCACTTAACTGGATGAGCACCAACAGCTAGTTACACTCCCAATTATGAACCAAAAACCTAGGTAAATAAGATGTTTTCGCCTGGCACCTAAAAACAGATAATGGTGTCAGGTGTGCATTGCACAGAGGGTTGACATAGGGAGAGGCGTTCCTTGAGGTATTGGGGTCCTGAGCCACATAAGGCTTTGTAGATTCAAGCTATCACTTTGAACTGAGCCCAGAAATTAATTGGTAGCCAGTGCAGTTATGCCAGAATTGGTGTTATGCGCTCAGGCCCTCTTGCCCTGATCAGCCAGCTACAGTTTCCAAACTGTCTTCAAAGGCAGCCCCAAATATAACACACTGCAGTAGTCTAACCTAAGGCTACCAAAAGATAACAGAAACTAGTCTAGAAGTTGTAGTCCTAAACATCAGGAGGGCACCGTGTTGGCAAAGGCTGATATATGGACTCCTTCAGAGATAGGTACTTGGCACTGAAACAAGCCTCCTAACCTCATTAGCCAATTATAATGCCCCCTTTTGATTTCCCGTAAGCTTTCTACTTCATGGTATTTCATTAACCCCCCCTTTACAAAATGGGTCACCATTTAATACAACAGTCGGGAAGAAAAAGCTGCTGCATTGCTTACATCCAACCCTAGAGCCTGACCTAGCCCCACAACCCTAAAAAGCTGTTAAAGTGCAATTTATCAAGGGGACGGGAGTCTGAAGAGATGCATTAAAAATACATTATATACACATACTTATAAATGGAAGAGATCCACAATGCTGCATTTGACTGACTTGCCCTAGGCCAGAGGGATTGATACTGGAGGCCATTTTATTGCTGATGCTGGAAAGTGTAGCTCGTTTTTCATAGAGCTGTATGGAATCCTAAAGGGGGAAGTATTATGCTCTCCTTGCTTGGAATGAGGAGCCTAAGAGTCAGCCAAAGCATGAAAGGCCAACTGCAAGTCGTGAAGAGGAAGTTTAAGAGCAGCTTTGTGGCCTAACGTGACTACACCTGTTATCTTGCCAGATGCCATTAGAAAGCACCAGAGAAATAAGCATTTACAGTGGAATCCTATGCATGTTTCTCCAGAAGGAAGTCACTCTCTGTTCAATAGGGTTCACTCCCAGTTAAGTGCATAGGGACTGCAACTCCAGTGCCCGTTCCTGTGCGCTTCAGGCAATCTGCAAGCTGGTTCCCAGTCAAGATACATGGGAAGCCTAAACAATCTGCATTACAGGCAAGTGCAACCTGTCTGACTGTGGGGTTGGTCTGGAACCAAACCATTACTGGTTTCCCCCTCTACCTTAATTCCTGGTACACTTTGTCACAGGACTATTCATACTGTGACAGTGTTGAGATAAGTGTTGAGGGGTGTTTTGGCAGCAGTAAGATCTGTATTCCCCCCCTAAAAGGGATAGATCAATATTTTTGATTCATCATATGAACTTCGGTACCAGCACAACATTCACCTCTTCCTCAAAGATCTTGTTTCACCTCCTTTTCTCCCATCAATTCTGTTGGTTTATAAGCTTCAGAAGAGGACAGTACCCCATTCTCACCAAGGAGGCAAGCTAACACCCAACATGGATTTGAAAACACACCTTTCCCCACTTCTTAGGACTCATCAAAACCCAGCTTTCACTTCTGGGCTTTGCTTGCTTTGTGGTGATTTTTTGTTCAGAACATGTTTACTATGCTCTTCTATATGTGCAAAATTTACAGTGTTCAATATCAAGAGAAAGAGACATCAGCTGCCTCTTCCAAGAAAGTCTCTTATCATTAGAAAGGAAAACCTGATCCACATCTCACCACTTCTTCACATGCTCACATCTCCTTCCACTTCTTAATGGATTGCTACACTGCAGGAATGGCTATAGCAGGTTCACCATTCCTACTTTATACAGTCTTACGAAACCAGCAGCATAAACTGTCCTATGAAACTGCATACAGTTTCCTTACTTCTTTGCTCTATCATCAATTTTGGCTGAAGATGCACCAATACCTGAAGGAGCATCAACTTCGCTATATAACCGCTTATGAAATCAACTCTTTATAACCTATATAATATGGTTTCATGGGGGGGGGATTATCTTTTGTACAAGTGAAGTACCATCAAGAAAACATGCCACTGGAGAACATCAAATGACAGTGCACATAGTTCTCCAACTTACGATGCATTTCATTTTTAGATAAGAAACACATTCCTCTGTCTACTGTGTTTCATCTTTTCTCTACATCCACCCACATCTGCCATTACCTGTTCCCTAGTATAGCTTCAAGCCAAATGCTTTTCTGGATTAATACTCACACACCAACATGGAACATTACAAGATCCCAAGCTCTCTCTAATGTAGGGCATCAGAGCATACTATGCACATATAGCATTTATACACAGTAGTTACATTAATTGAAAATATGGCCCTCTTTCTACACCTCTCTTCTCATAGGAACCATTGTCCATACACCCAAAAAAAAAGGGTAACAAGTTCATGGCAATGCGAGGGGCATAAGGAGAGTTATGTAAACACCGGCTGATAGCATTCATCATACTGTGTGAAGACCCATTATATTAGTTGACTTGAGCCCCTTAAGTCCACTGACTTCGGCAGGTCTATTCTGGGTGTGACTTAGGAGGACATCACCCATTCAAAATAACTAGCCTTCCCCAACCTGATGACCTCCAGATGTTTAGGGCTGCAACTGTCATCTACTTCACCTGGTCAGTGGCCAGGTATGGAGAGAGTTGTATCCTAGAACTTCTGGAGGACACCCAGGTTGGGGAAAGCTGCATAAAATACGATGATTTTATTTAAAGGAAGTTTGGTTTAGACTCATCACTTTGGCATCACTTTATATAAAATGGGTTGTTTTTGCCAGGAAGGGGGTTCCTATTTGTAACGTTACAAATGCTGCACGTTACTGAAGTGATGCAGTCCAACCTTAACAGTGCAGCAAGGACGTTACTAGAAATGGGGGAAAAACCAACTGTACAACTGTTTTGGAGATTAAGAAAAAATACTGCCAATGGACCGTTCCTTGGAATCACCCAAGGGCACTCTTCATGTGATCAGAATTTTTGAATTGGTCAATTTTTATGCCATGCATCCTTGCCAATCATAAACATGCATACAATAACAGTAATTGTTTGTAACATCACCACATCCCTATCTATCATTCTATTGCCAGCTAAATCAAGAAAACTACAGATTTAACTTGTTTGTAGTTAAAAAGGGAGACAATAGTACTAATACTATTGGTACCAAGGTCAGCACCCTGGAAACTCAGCTCACGTACCTATGTACAAACCTGATACAAAGCTTGGAACTTGCTTCCGCCATGTATGTTAATTCTCTAAAGTGCCATAAACGTTAGTTGCTACAGACCAGGGATGCTGACCCTCCAGATGTTGGGCCACAACCCCCATCTTTCCTTACTGGCCAGGCTAGCTGCAGCTGATGGGAACTGGAGTCTAACATCTGGATGGCCACAGATTCCCCATTCCTGCTATGGATGAACAGTCTTACTTCTTTCAGAAGTTACCAGATGCTGCTGCGAAGCTTCTTTAAAAATAAACTGAAGGTGACTAGCAAACTCTTCCACACATTAAGTAAAACATCTATTTCCTCGTCTAGATCTTTGAACTGAAACGATGTACAAATTACTGCGACGTATTTTGGCAAGGTGTACGGCGTATGGTTTGTTTTAACAACTAATACCCTGCCACAGTTTTAACAGAGAAAAAAAGGGGGGGGGAGACTGCAGAGCCATGGCAACCATGAACCCCACTGCACACAGTAAGGCATTTTTGCAAGGAATGAAAGATAATTACAGCAACACCCATCAAAACCTCCTGCAAGGTAACACATCTAGGGCTGGCGATACCAAGAGTTGCCAGCTGCCACCACCCTAGCAAGCCTCCTTTGTGTAACTGCTGTGTGGCACACAGAGATGCAACAGACACAACTTTCCCCAGCATGAAATGCAGAAACCTGCACCTGCTGAATTTCTGCCTATCACACAGCTGTTATACAAAAAGGCACAGGAACCCTGTCTGGAAGGGGGAGGGAAGAGAAGAGAAGGCACAAAGCCTAATGGCAAGTCACTGGGCACATGGGGGGGGGGGAATCTAATGGGGCAATAAGGTTATGTAACCTTATGTAAGTGCAACCCACATAGAAAATATTGCTTTAAAGAGCACATTTCTGGGCTCTTTTTACACATGGCATATCCTCAGGGGCAACTCAGAACAGTCACATATAACTTAAGCCAATCTTATAACCAGTGGATTGTAACTATTGGGACCATCCAATTTCAACTGAATATTATAACCACCTACTGGAGCCATGCAAATGCTCAATTTAAGATGCACATGCTCACATGTACAGGATTGTAGTGGATGGGCCCATTTCCCCTTGTCGTGATATTCAATTTGTTTGGCTAAGGAACAGGTTTTGTTCATTTCTATTCCCTAAGGTTTACAAAGCCACTAAGGTGGGTCCGGGGGACAGTGCTGCATTCTCCGCTTCTTCAGCATTCGCACACAATTGCCAGATAAGAACTCAAGCCACACACTGCTTTGGAATTGTGTTATCGCACCAGAATCAAGACTTTTTGCTCCTGGTAATTAGAGAGAGACTCCAATTTCAGTGTCTCCCTGACCAGGTTTGAAAAGGGAGAGGGAGAAAACCCTGCACAAAACATCTTTTCACTAGCAAAAGCAACACTGTTTGAGAGGACACAGACTTGTATCACAGAGCCAGCCACAAGACAACACAGTTCAAACCATCAAAGAGGGAGGGGAGGCAAGCATCCTTTCTGAGGCCGACAGCCCAGCCCTTCACATTTACTGGGAGGGATGTTACACATCCATTTTGATAAGCCTTATTTTCACATGTGGCATTGGACCACAGCATGAGCTTTGAAAAAGGCAAATCATGCCACTGATATATCTAGGGAGAGGCGAAGTGCCTTTTCCCAACTGAGTTTGATCCTCTTAAACTCAGCCTCTAACAGCTGTAAAAGTTCCAAATCAACAGCAAAGATGATCACTCTCTTCTGGCGCACCCAACATGGCTAGAAATGGTTTCATGCAAGGACAGATGTCAGTGACCAAATTTTTTCAAAGTTACAAAACACACACACTTGAGACAGAAGCAGTTTCTTTTTCACTGACTGCTAGAGCTGACTCCTATACAAACTCCTATAGAAACCTTTTTCTTACTATTGAAGTGGTGGCAGGGAAGGAAATAACGTTTTGGATACAGGCCTGGGAAGAGACTGAGGGCACACCTGCACTCTCGTGCAGACATGCACCATTTTGTCAGCCATTCTCTATCCCTTCCACAGAAAACCCTGACAATGGCTAAAGAATTTTCAGTACCCTTATTAATTCCCAGGATTCTCTGAGGGAAGTGAGCCAACATATATTTGGAGTGTCCGCATGGCCTTAAAGGAAGAAACAAAAGCGCCAACAGAAATGGAAGTTACATAACAATGCTTGCTTTCTGCTGTTTAAATTTAGTGAGATGGGGAAACACCTAGGAAGACGTGGCTTTCCTTTTGCACAGCAGGTTAAAGCAGAGCAAGTCACAGCTGCAGCGAGCTTCCTAAACTCTGTGGAAAAAATGGGGCCAAAACTTCATAGTGCTTAGAAACCCAATACTGTTTTAGATTTAGATTTAATTGTTTTAGATTTAGATTTAATTAAGTATTGGTTTATAAGTACAATGTGCAGTCAATTTGTATCACAGCAGAAACCCATGGAGGGCCGGAAGGAAGTCAGAGAGTCAAATTGAAGCAGTAAAAACGATGTGAAAACTGGATGTTACGAAAAATGGGGGGGGGGGATGAGAGAGAGAGAGAGAGAGACCCAATATTGTTATGGAAGTATTGTAGCCCAGCCCTTTATGGATCAGAAACTATACATGGAGTTGACCTTGGGTTGCCAACTTTTCAACTGACCCCTGAAGCTCTGCTGTTTGATCTGCAGGAATTTAAATGGGAAGGATTTTATGGCACAGAGAAGCCTTTCAGGGCATTATTGCCTGCTAATTTCTGCAGATCAAGCCACTGTTAAGAGGCACAGCTTCAGAGGATGGTGAGAAGTTGGTACTGGTTGCCAACCGAACCCATGCATTCACATCCTGCAATATTATCTGCTGATACGTCTCCGTGCAATAAGTACCTGATGTTTTTTTTAAAAAACGAGGCCATTTATTCATTTCTGCAAAATGGTCCATTAATGTAATATAGACCCACCAGGCCCCCACGAGAGACAGCAGTGGGCGCAAAAGCTTACATTTCAGCAGTGGAAATAACAATGTTATCCTCAAAACACTTGAAGTAGCCAAAGCTCCCATGAAACATAAGGAGATCCATAGCTCTAGCCTTTTGGTGGATTAGACTAGAACCTAACTAAATAAATCAAATTTGGGGGAAGTTATCCCAACCTATGCATACACGATAGTAAAAAAAACAAAATGCCATTGCTTCTAGTTTCTGGGAAGAGCCTGTCCAGCTCTCACATTCTGTCCAGGCCTTACATTAAAAAGAACTACTCAGCCCCAAGTCAAGCTCTTGCATCACTAACATTGTCTGGAAAGTGGAATATTTATAGCCAGGCATCCAGATAACCCAGATGTCCTGGTATTCTGCAGCCTGATGGAAAGACAAAGACGAGGCCAGAATAAACGGAGGGACCATGTCCAAGAAGCCAGCCCCCTTCTTTGTTAGCATGAATAGTTTGAGATAGCATGATTTATACCTTCAGACCCAACAATGACCTTTCTCCTTTTAGCAGCTCTGGGACAGGAGAAAATCCATAGCACTTGCACTACTTTTAAAAACAGACACTATTATCGAGGATGGGAGGTGACGCTCTTGCACAGAACTGAAGTGTTCCTCCAAAAACTGGTTTCGGGTCTGTAGTGAAAGATTTATTGCAGGTATCTGGGACTAGAAACTCCACAGGGTGTTAAATTCAGCTTTCACAATCTCTAGAGACTAATGTAATTTCACACACCTAGGGGAAGAAATGTTCTTTGTAAGCTAGACGATGAGGTCAGTAAATAAGATCATCAGAAGGTGCACAGCAACATTCTATTGCTCCATCAGTTTCTCTTTCACCCCCTAATTCCTAAACTAGTCGTATATGCAGATGTCAGTCCCATTCATTTCAGTGGGATATAAACTGAAGTACCTATGGCTAGGATTGCAGCCTTGCCTTCTAGCTTGCCATCCTCACTCTCTAAAGGAAGATAAATTTTGTGGAACTTTCCCTTTTGCTTAAGTAAACTTAAAGGAGCACACAAGCACAAGAAAATATTCTAAAGCTATACAGTTCATAGATACCACGTTCCTTATATAAAAAAAAAGTCACAAAGAAGTCCAGCACAAATTTCAAGGCATTGAAGTGCAAGACAAGGCTCTATAGAAGTGCAAGCAGCTTCTCCCTGGCAAAGGCTAAGATGTTCACACACACACACACACACACACACTTATTTGTCAAGAAAACCACACACAAGCATCAGAGGCTCCAGTGTTGAACAAGAGAGATAACATCAAGGGCAAAACTGAAGTGGAAGAATTTTATAAGTCTCATAAACATATTTCAACCCCATTCCCTTTCACGCCAATATTTCTGACCCCTTACTTTGATCAGACAGGACAATATTGGCCAGTGCCCATATCTGCTACACTACCAATTCAACAAGGCAACAGCTACAGTTCTTCTGACTTCACAAGGAAGTTCTCACTCTATCATCACCTCCACTTTTACCCACCCAAAGCCCCGTGCCTCAAGAGATATACGAAGCCAGTTTCATGACCATGGGCAGATAATGGAAGTCCACAGCAAAGCTTGAACATGGATAGAATTTTATGCAGCGTTTCTCTAGTATCCTGAGCCTGGCAAATATTTAAACACAAAACCAGAGAGATTCCCAACTACCTCCTGGAAGTTGGGAATGCCTTCACCACCACCACAATTGATAACGAGAAGAAATGTCCAAGTGGGGCAGGCTGAAGCAGTTGTTTAAAATTAACAAAAAGTCTTCCAGCTATTTATATAAGCAGAATTGCAATTACCGGGCAACTCCAATTGTATGTATCCAAGAACGGCAAAAGACGGGCATGTAAAGCTACAGTTCATTACCGGATAGCCATAATGGGTTAGTTCTTACACATCTCATTATTCCATCAGCCTGCCAGTGGAACAAATATCTGCTTCTCATGTGGTTATGTTTGTTCCAACTGGGGTTCAGAGGTTTCACTGACACTGCATGCGTGCTGATGCACATCCAACCCCTCCTTGCCATGACCCATCATCAGTCCTGTGGATCCTCCACACAGGACACAATCATACTCTGCTCTGGGAGGATTCAAGCTTCCTAGGTCCAACTGTTTGCTAAGAATCCCTGCACATCTGCTAGAGAACCATTGGATGATGCACATTGTAGAGCGGTCTCCCCATACCTTGTCCTCTCCAGATGTTTCAGACAATGACTCCCATGGTACCTGACCACTGGTCAAGCTACATGAGGCAAACAACAGTTGCAGTTGAAAACATTTGGAGGGCACCATGTTGGGGAAGGCTGTTCAAGAGCATGCTCTCAGTGGGTGTGCAGTGATAGTCAGACCTGGTAGGATTCGCTTTACCTCCCACCTTAAACCAAATGTAATTTGGCTGTGCACAGAGAGAAGTCAATGAACACGTTCCCTGGAGTGACACAACAAAGCAAGCCGGAGTACAGGAAGTCTCCCAAATGTATAGCATGTGTGGAAGCACTGTGGAGGCCGCATCTTGTACAGTACAGAAAAGGGAGGAAGCATCAAACATGGGAACTCAGCCACCCAAAGGAGGGGGACCACTGCTTTTCACAGATGCCTCTGGGAAATGATGAAGTAAAATCAATTCTGAAACATGGAAGAATACAGGGAAATTTGTATTTAGCATCTTCCTCTTTTCTGAACTTTCATCGGATCCTTCCTTCAATTGCAGATATGCTATAATTGATATAGGGAACGGACATTTTTCCAGAATGCACTGTGAATAAATGTCTTTGCCAGTGAAAAGAGCTTCCATTTCCCAAATGGACAAAGCAACAACACATAATATCTATATACTCTCTCTGTGTCTTTATAACAAATGAGGAGAGAAAAAAATGTACAGGCACCCCCACGTTGCCTTCTTTCTTTTCTTTTTTTCTTATTTGAAAGGGGGAGCAAGGGAAAGAGAGAGCCAGTGAGATCAACAGTCAAAATAAAACCAAAATCCTCTGTAAACATTTGTGAAGGAAAATTTCCGGATTTTGCTTGTTAAATAATATAATTAAATCCACCCACCCCTAGAAAAATCTGATTGGGAGCACGGCGGGGGGCGGGAAAACACACACACACACAAATGAAAAGCAAAACGAAAAGGAAACAGAAATCTTCCAAGCATGAAGAAAAGAAAAACGATGAAATAATAATAATAATAATAATAATAATAGAAAAATGCAGATTCAGAATGGGATGCTCCTGTCTCGGAAGAAGCCCTCTGCCATTTGTGCTTCTCTGAAAGTCACGGTAATGGAGTTTGCTGTGATGTCCGTCACTGTCACTTCATTTGGCGGCAGGGCGGGGCTCCAGGAAAGATTGCCTTCTGCTGCCTCGGAGCTCACTGGGGAAGAGGAAGGAGGAAAGAGAACAGCAGGTGAGAGGGAGGGGGAAGTGGGAGACCAATAGGAATCAACAATCTTGTCCTTATGAAACAGGCTGGCCAACTACGAACTGACGCAAATGGGGGGGCGGAGCAAACACACAGTCACAGACCAATAAATATGTGGCCAATGCAAACCACCTCAAACCCACTTTACAGGCTATAGGATTGAGACCTGCCCCCACCTGCTTATTCACTAAGCCAGTGGTTTTCAACCAGTCTGCCATGGCACCCTGGGGTGCCTTGAATGATGGTCAGGGCTGCCGCAGGCAACAATGGCCTCTGTCCCTCTTCCCTTCCCTCCCTTCCTCTGATGCCCTCGTGTCTCTGCCTCCCAAAAGCTTGCACAGATGTTTGTGGCAGCAGCTCTGGCTACAAGCTCCCCATGTGAATGGTGCCTCTGGGGCTGGCCAGGGGGTGCTTCCCAGGCCCCTGTGGGGCAGGGCTAGGCGGCACCTCTCTTTATGGCAGCTCAGAGACCAGGGGCGGCTGCCTGCAGGACTCCCAAGGAGGCTGAGGGAACACTCCACAAGGGAGGGTGTTCGAGAAAGGGTGGGAGCTTGCCAGCTCTGCAGGCAAGGGGTGACATAACTGGTCAAGGGAGTCATGGACCCAAAAAGGTTGAAAACCTCTGCACTAAGCAAATCCTCTCAATTAAAAGGGATATAGTTTGGTATTGGGTTTATACGGTGCAACAAACCAAGGAGATATTTTCCAGATGCTTGTTATATGAAAAAGGAGAATTCGCCACAGAAAAGTTAAAAGGAGATGCTGTGCTTTCCAAATCCCTCAAAATGAGTTTCCTTTTAGTGTCAAGTGGGAATTTACATTTCCTCTCCTCCATAGGAGTTTCATGACACATTTATTTACCCAAATGGCCTCAGCAACAGCTGAGAATGAGGGGCCCGCTTCCTAGACTTCTCATTTGGGACCTTATACATAAAAAAGCAGCAGCAATAATCCCACCCCCATGCCAAAAGAGATACATGGAGAGGGGAGGGAGGGAGGCCTCCATCTTCTCTTATTTACCTGTTCTGCACCCTCCTGTCCCACCTGGGAATGGAAAGTGGGCCCTTTAACTGGGTATTCCTGGCATCTCTCTCGGATATCTGAGGTGTGTCTACTCTCACCTGAGAAAGGCTCCATTTCTCCCCGACACTACCCGGGATTCCACATGTGTGCTCACGTTGAAGGGAGAATAAAAAAAATAAGGTTTACATTTCTCTAGTAGAATTTGTCAGCTACACCTCAAGGGGCTTCACAATGAAAGCTACAATGGAAGGCTCCAAAGTACCCCACAAAATGCAGCAGCCATATTGTGTTATTGGGACTTGAGAAGAACTAGTCAACATCTTGGCTTGCAGCTGCAAATAATCTAAACCCCACTTTGCTCTTTCCAAACGAACTGTGCAGAAAGTGCAAATATCAACACAGATGGACACTCCTGTCAGATGCCTGTTTTATTTATTAGGATATTCATATACCACTATTCATTTTTTTAAAAAAAATCAGAGCGGTTTACAACCATCATACACAAAACCCCATAGAAAACCATATAAAGCTCTAAAAGCAGAGGTCAAGTAGCAATTACAGAAGGGTATTTTCTGAACTGCAACCATGAGCTTGGCAGCATTTCTACCTCCAGGGATTATCTTCTGCTTTCCCCACCTGTCACTGTGGCGAACCGCAGGCCGAGGGGGACAAATGCAGCCCTTGAAACTCCCCCCTGGCCACACTCTTTCACTAGCCCTGCCTCACACCCCAAGTACTCCCTCCCTCCATATTTATTTATAATGAAGCATAACAAAGTATAATAACAGGTGTCAAATAAAACAGCAAAAGTATGAGAGACTATCTAGAACTAAACATATAGGATCAAACTTCCATACCAAACTCACACATAATTAGTATCCCAAGGTCCCTACATTTTCACTTTTAAACAGTTTTTTTCTTTAAAAAGTAAGTTTTCTAGGCCTAAAGCTTGCAAAGGTAGGCTTTACCATCTACAGACAATGTCTGTTGAAACTTTAGAAGCTACAATTTACATGCACTTGACTTTAAAGTCCTTCTTGGATGGGCAAGGCTCCCTGACTAGCAGATGTAAAATAAGTTATTTTTAATGAAGCAAGTTTGCTTTATTTGCATATATGCAAGTTGTAGAATGCAGCTTTCTTGGCACATGATCCAGTTTTCCACAGGAACATTTCCCCCCCTCAAACAATGGAGTCCATACAAACCTCCTGGTGAGGATGGCACACTGGGTTTCAACAGTACCACTTAGCCCTCCAAGCAATGCATGCGTGTGAAGATCACTATAAAAGCTCTCCAACACGAAAGTGTTCCTCTACTAAAAAAAGAGACTTCCTATATACACTAGGAAGTTTATATGCATTTTATACCAATCTAGGCTTTCCTTTGTGAAGCCCAATTGATATGGTTCAGCTGAGGGTGTGTAAACATGGGAAGGAAGAACCACCAGCCCAAAGACCAGACCTGGCTCCTTCCAAATACAGTCGTACCTTGGTTCTCGAACAGTTTAGTACTCGTACGTTTTGTCTCCCAAATGCCACAAACCTGGAAGTGTTCTAGTTTGTGAACGTTTTTTGGAAGCTGAACATCTGACACAGCTTCCACTTGACTACAGGAAGCTCCTGCAGCCAATTGGAAGCTGCGTCTTGGTTTTCGAACGGTTTTGGGAGTCAAACGGACTCCCGTGATGGATTAAGTTTGAGAACCAAGGTACCATTGTATTTTTTTGGGCCTGAGGCGGCTTCAGCACATGGTTCTTGAAGGGTTTGCTACAAGTCCACCACAAAAAATTAGCTGCCCCTAGTACAGATTGATCTCTGTTAGATATCCTTTGAGATACCCACTAGCCTTCTATTGAGCTACAATTCCCAAGGTTTTCAGGAAATAACTCTTAAACCACTTTAAATATGTAGCATAGATATACACCTGAGACCACAGGGAGGTGGGGAGAAACTTCTCTACCAACATGGCTCCTTCTTCTTCTGTGATGGTCACCCACAGTAAGAACCCAGACAAGAAGCGCATCCACAGGCCAGCTGTCATTAAGAAGCCGTGCAGAACACCAAGGCCGAGGGATGACATTAAACGCTTCCTATTGTGGGGATTTCAATCTACCATTGCGGTTTTGGGAGGAGAGCGGCAGCGCTGCCTGCACAGACCCTGCTGGTCTGCCCGGACTAGTGCATGAATGGCATGGAAATGAGCGCCAGTGTCAAGTGGTGATCAGATTTAGAGTGTCTACTAACCAAACACTCAGGGTTGTCTCCATCTAAGCCACACACAGCTGAAATCAATGGACTTGACTAACTTAAGCCCATTGGTTTCAACAGGTCTGCTCCAAGTAGGACTTAGCTGGGAACAATCCTAGATCTGAGATTTCCCCCTTCAGGTCAACCTGCAGGGGTAGCTGGGAAACAAAGGGTTACCCCCATATGGCATGCACAGTGTGCAACAGTTAAGAGAGGAACCGGGATGCCCAAGCAAGTGAGATGAGATGGGCTCTACGTAGCTGGGGGTGTTTGCCAGTGCTTACCCTCTTTGCTGGCAGGTTGCGCGGCCTCATCCCAGTCGCTGGGGGTCTGCCTCTCCTCCAACGCCACTGGCTCCTTCAGGAAGAACTCCCGCCGGCGGTTCCGATTCTCCAGGCTCGCCATGCGGGTGAACTTCTTCCTTGAAAGGCGCAGGTACTTCTGGTTCTTGCTTTGCTTCCGAAGCGGGAAGGGCAAGACAGTCGCTCCACTCTTCTCGGGCAGCTCGGTCTGCCCTCCCTTGGCTAGGCTGTTTCCTCCTCCCCCAAACCGCCGTGACAGAGAAAAGCAGAGTTTCTCTTTCCCTTTGTGTGCGCTTCGCAGGTCCATGCTATACAGCCTCTGCAAATGGAGGGGGGAAAAAAAAATCACAATTCTGCCCCTATATTTCTATGAACACCTGTAGCCATAGAACCATAACATCCTTGAAGAACTAGCTCAATATGCTCTTCACCTTATGATATATGTGTACACACACACACACAAACATAATAATAATTATTATTTACACGGAAGCAAAAAAACTGTAATGAGAATGATCAACAGAAGCGGAACACATTAAGCATTGCTTTGAACACATGATAGTGTGCAATGCAACTTTCTGATGGGACAGATTAAGCCAAACTAGAGATCTCTAGGGTAACTTTGCCTGAAAATGTCTACGCAGCGATTCTTACATTTTAAGGAAGAGTATTTTGTTTTAATCATAGCTTCAAGATTTGGAGCTGGTGAGCTGTGTTCAGAACTATGATTTGACAATAATTGCACTGATTGTTTTGGCCTTGGTGGTTGGGGATGAACTTTGTGTTTTTTCTTGTTATGTTTGCTTTTTTTCTTTTTCCGTCAGCCGCTTTGAGCAACCCCTTTGTGGAGGGACAAGCAGGGCATATATTTTCAAAATAAATGTAGAAGTACTTAAGAATATATATATGCATGTAGTGGATAGCTGAGTCTGTACAGCAATGCTGGGGCTTAGGAATGGACAGTGTAATTCAACAAACTTGGGCCCTTACCTGAAGCAAGAGACGTTTTGGTTTGGGGCCTCTCTTCCTGTAACCTGAGGCGCGATCTTTCTCTTCCCTGAGGAGACAGAAGATACCTAGCAATTCCATTTGTTAACACAGCAAGAGCACCAACAAGGCCGCTTGTTGATCCAGGTTATTTAAGGCATATCACAGAGCTGTTGCTTGTGCAAATACAAATCGTAGTGGAGAAGGGGGAGACTTTCATTTGGCTTGGTTGGTAGTTGGAGCTGTTCTTTCCCACCCACAACCTAATTCAGCAATGCTTAACCGAGTCGATACCTACCTGCTATACAAGCAGCAACTGGGATCGACAGTTCGGTGCATGCAAGCACACAAGAATACACAAAACCCTACGTGATGGATATCACAGTCTAAAGCTGGTTTCACCATTAAGCATAGTTTTGTGGTTCACACACAATGGGAAGCTCTGGTTAACTGCCTTGTTTTGTTGCGGGTTCAAAGGGTGGGAGTGAATGGCAGAAATGACATAGCTTGTGCATATCCTGCTTTAGCAAGTCAGGATTTTCAGCTTAGTGTTATGTGCTAATGCAACCAATGGTAATTCCCATTGGGCTAAGTAAGATACTGATATTTTAGACCCTAACTACACATTATGGGAAGACACATGGCTGCTGCTGGCATACATGGGTTGGTGGCACATATTTATTTTCCTAGTAACATGCAGTCCAGGCAGCTAGGAATATTGTCATTTGTCTTATTGGGCAGGTGAAGAGGCTGCAGCATATTCTGGGAACTCTTCACACTGGGGTGCTCTCAGGTAATTGAGCCATAGTACAGAAGCCTCAGTTCAGCGGGGTGCCTGCTCTTTAGGTTAGAATAAAGAGCTTGATTATTAGCAATCCTTGCCTTGATAGGGGAAGAGAGAAACTCTCGAGCCAACCTGACCATGCTAGATCTCTTTGATGCAAAGCCTCTTGTTTTAACCTCTCCCCAAAATAAAAAGGAAATATTCTTACTTCTCTTCATAAGCCATCACCAGGCGAGGGTCAAGAATGTGATCCTCTGGCTCCCATGTGCTGTATCTAAGAGGAAAAATGTCAAGAGAAAACCATCAAATGGTTTCTGGTCAAGTAGGGTGTCGCTAGCACTGTCAAAGTTCTAGCACTTTCCCCCTTATCAACTGGAGACTACAATCCACTCAACAGCTGAAAAATCAAGTATTTGAATTTCCCACCCAAGGGTTCTGCCAATAAATTCTTGAAATAAAATTTATACCATACCCTGCTCCTTCCGTACATGGAATGGATCAAATAAGTGACCATCCTTCTTTGAAAAAAGGGGATCATAAACTCTCTGTTCTCAGTCTTAAATCTGCCTGTTGCAGCCAACAGAAAACAGGATTCCCACAAAACGTCTCCTATGCAGAACCCTGTGAATTTCACCAGCTTATTCTTTCAATGGCAGGATCTTACTAGGCTACTAGATTTGGAGACACTACAGTGTTTCTTGCCTGCGTCGTTAATAACTTTAGAGCTGGGAAGTATGATTCATTAAAGCTTTTTTTAAAAAAAAAAGAATTCAGAAACTGATCTCTGAACACATGGTACTTTAGAAGTATTTTTACCCTTCCTGTCAATCAACTACGGTTCCAGAAGGTGGCATAAAACTTAAAAACCAACACAAAATACAATACAAAGCCACCCAGCAGGGAATAGGAACAAATTCCAACCAGGAAATCGGAGGGGGGGGGGAGATCCTCCAAAAAAGCATCATCATAGGCTTCAAGCAGGCAAGGAGATGGCAGGGGAAAGAGAGAGAATGAATGAAAGAAAAAACAAACACTGTAACCACATTTCCTGTGGTGGATGCATACATAGAATGGTCCTCTGAAGATGATTTAAATGCCCAGGTAGACATATGTGGGATAAGGCCATCCTTAAGATACCCTAACCCATATTGCTTTCATGGCAATTAAAAAATACTGTATTTTTTGCTCTATAAGACTCACTTTTTCCCTCCTAAAAAGTAAGGGGAAATGTGTGTGCGTCATGGAGCGAATGCAAGCTGCGCAGCTATCCCAGAAGTCAGAAAAGCAAGAGGGATTGCTGCTTTCACTGCACAGCGATCCCTCTTGCAGTTCTGGCTTCTGAGATTGAGAATATTTTTTTTCTTGTTTTCCTCCTCCAAAAACTAGGTGCGTCTTGTGGTCTGGTGCGTCTTATAGAGCGAAAAATACGGTAAATAAATCAAAGCTAGCCTGTTGAATTGTGCTCAAACTATAAGACATTACAGTTTCTATGAAGACACTACAGATTCTACAGTGTACTTCAAGTGACTCACCACCATCAACTTCTTAGCAATGTATTCTGGACCAGTGGATGCTTCCAAACATAGCAGCTCCATGTACAGTACATTACTGTAATCTAGCCTGAATGCCATCAGAGAATTACGCTAGCGCTCTCTCTCTGTATATATATATTTATATATAGTACAGCAATGCTAATAGATGTTTATAGCTCACTATGATGTGCAGAAGCAGGCCAATGTGGTTGCAAAAGGAGAGGATGTTGCAGATGTTGATGGCATCAAGGTGAAGTTAAGTTTTTAACACATTAGGGAGGTGAAAAATCTTCAGTAGTAAAAGTTATTTTGAAAACAGTTAGAGAAGAGCTGCTGTTTATGCCACAGGTATAATTTCTTCTAAACGATACACAAAATGTGTTAAAAAAACAAAAGTAAGAGAGGGAAGAGGTGGGGAATGTGTTAATAGCTGCTAAAGTGCTTACAGCAAATAATTCGAGGTAGCTTTGGTAACTTAGTCACCCCATATTATCTTGTAAGCCAGCAGCAGTTTTATGACTGCACTGTGGAAAGGAAAAAAGTCTATGCAGAGATGTATGATGAAATGGCAGCTATTGATATTTCTTTTGGTATGAAAAACATTCTGCAAACAGGGTTTATGCTTTAAAGAAAAACTGTATATATAATATACACAGACAGGGTAGCAGTCAATTAAGTTTGACTCCAAAAGTAGACCTATGGAAATTAATGGACTTAACTTGGACATGTCCATTAATTTCAGTTGGGTCTACTTGAGTAGAACTTAGTTGAATCCCACCCATAGAGACACAGTTGCAGCACCTACACGTCAAGGTAAGCCATAAATCATTTCTCACAAGCCAACTGCACACAGCTGCTCCTCCCTGCTTGAACAGGGGAGAAACAAAGCATGATCCCTTGTTCAAACCTGGCACTAAGCCATGGATCGTGGCTCATTTCTCTCCAGGACAAGCAGGTTAGAGCACAGCAGGCATACTTGGAACAAGCCACAGTTTATGGTGTGCGCTGATGCACAAACCAGGTCAGTGGGATTGCAACAGAAGATAATGTAGGTTTTCTCCACGTTTACTTTTCTAAAATAATAATGAGATTATCTTTCTGCAGCAGTAAATAAATAAATGCAAAAAACCTTCCATTCTGGTGACCTGTCAAAGAGGAAGGATTAGAAGATGAACCTCAGAGGCAGTGTAGGATCAGGACCTGAGAGAATCTCAGCTTTAATCCTAACTCAGGAATTGACTTTCTGGGGACCCTTAGGCAAATTCCCATCTCTCCAAGTTATCACAGCTTTCCCCTGCCAAGCTGAAAGGCAGGGTATAAATATTTTTTTAAATAAATGAATTGCTCAGCCTTGATTTCTCCTGCAATGTGAAATGGAAAAAACCCAACAGCTGACTCCCACATGCCTGCCTTACAGCAGGCTTTTTTTCTTTCTTTTTTTTTACCTGCCCTGAGGCTTTAGGGAATGAGGTGTGATGTTAAATAAGTCAATACATTTACTTCAGAAGATGTCTCTCACATCCAGCTCTCAGGGGAAGGGCAAGGTTATAAATAGCTTACATCGTCAGCTTCGTTTTCATTAATTCTTATTCAGTCCTCATCATTACCCAAGCTCTACCTCCCAGTAAGAGCTCTTCCTCTGCCCCTGCCATCTTCCTTCCAGCCTGAGGTACGACCAAAAAAAGTTACCAAACCAGAAAAATAAAAACGCGAGCTGAGCAAATGTTGTGCTTGCTTTCTACCTCCTTGCTGCACAGAATTTTGCCATTTGTTTTAAGCTGCTGGGGGGGGGGGGGAGAGAGGCTAAGGATTTCTTACAGAAGGCAGCAGAGCTGGCAAGCGTTTGGGGTTGGGGGGAGAGAAGAAGAGTAACAGACAGGGAATGTATTAGATCTTTTAAAAAATGTCCTATGGGTGTTGCCCATTCCTCTGCAGCTTAGCTTCTTGCTTGACTGCAGTGAGAAAACACTGCATACAGTATAGAAAAACATTGCAGCTCGGCACACGTAGACACACACTCTCTCTCTCTCACACACACACACACACACAGAGAGAGAGAGGCCAGACTGCAGCAGAACTGCAGACCACGCATTCTGGAAAATACAAGTCACATGATTGCCTTCCTCCTCCCTCCCCCCCCCTTCAAACCCAAGTTGTAAACAAGCTTGCAGCTGACTCAGAGCCATAACCCTTCAAATCCCTGGCTCTGAGCTCCTATGGGTGGGGCATGCAGGCCATTTTTTTTATTATTAAAAAATTGTTTGGGAAAGGCATCCAGAAAATCAGGAGGAAAGGAAGAGAGCATGAGCAGGGAAAAGACTGGGGAGGAGAGAGGCCAAACAGTTTGAAGCATAGCCATTCGCCTGCTTTCTTCAAGCCACAATGGAAGAACTGGCACAAAACCGGGAAGGGTTATGGAGTAAGATGGAACGCAGACACACAGAGATATTATGCAGGTATCAAAAGTTGAGAAAAGATGAACAGGAATGTGTTAGGATGAACGGATGCAGAGAGATGGGGGGGTGCTGTACATTGCTTGTGGTTTACAACATATCCAGTGGCAATCAAAAAAATGAAAATAAAATATTTGTAGCTGTATTTTAAGCACAGCTCTGACCTTCATGTTCTTAAAATAAATTATTGGTCAATCTTCAGAATGGTTTGTTCATTTATTAGTGGATCTAAGAAGCCCTTATTTTTTCAGTCCTAGGAAAAGCTATGAGCTCATCATATCCTTATTTTAGCGTTTGTTTCACTATGGAGCTTGAGGGTGTGTGGGGGGGGAGAGAGCAGCGGAAGACTGCTGTGTGGAACTTAAAGAGTGCCACTGAAAAATAGTGGAAAATCACCATGGATTAGGAAACAGCAATAGTACACTCCTCTCTCTCCTTAAATATGATGTGACTAACGAATAAATCCAGCCAAACTCTAATTTGAAGCCATCTTGGGGGAAGTGTTTAGCTAATGAGCTTGACAACACCATGTTGTCAGCAGCAGCACACATTGTTAATATGGAAGACAGAACGTATGGTCAGGACACAACTCTCTTCCTGGTCCAAAAAGGAATTATTTTTTTTGCTGTGGCTACACAGAGAGCTCAGAGCGAGCAGGAAGGTGGATACCCTCTGCTCTGTTTTTGCAGAGTGGCTATATTCTTGCAAGTTATTAAATTGCAACTGCTGAATTGCATCTGACATGAACAGGCACTTAGCCCCTTCTCAGTTATGTCATTAAAACGGGGTGGGGGTGGGGCTGTGACCCTCTGGGTGCTGCTGAACTACAACTTCCACCATCACTGGCCATGCTGGGAGCAAACAACATCTTGGAGGGCTTCAGTTCCCACATACCCCTGCATTAAAATATGCAAGATACTACTCTGCCCGCACTATAATCCCACATGGGTAGAAGAAAGCAGATGCCTCCCTATTGCAATGCAGTTTCCTCTGGGGAGGCATTAACTAGCAATAAACACCAGGCATCAAACTTGCAGCTGTTTAAGCGATATCTCGGTGGAAACGCCTCTGAAAGAAATAACGAGTGGCAGGTACTGCCTCATTCAAAAGGAGGGGTGAGGGGAGCATTATGCAGCCAAATGTATGTTAATACCTCACTGGAAGTTTATTGACAGGTATCCACAAACCCACTCAGGGGCAAATGCACCCAGCCCTCTCTGGACAGCAGCACTGTAAAGATATATTGCAGTATTTTGCAGCTATAATGAGGAGCCTTATTTTCACTGCAGTTTTCGATCAGGTGAAAAAGCAGCGCTCCTTCTCATCTTCATACTGCCCCCCATATGAGAGGTGACTGTGCCCCTCTCCCGAGTCCTCTGTATGCACTAGAGAATGCTGCAGAGAAGGGGACATTGCTACCGACCACAAATAATGGCTTGGTGCTAAGCCAACATTTGTGGACCCCTGTTTACTGTTCTGCCGTTACTCTGCTGGAGTTGGAGCAAACACAATGTATTTCTTCATTCCTTAGATCTGCATCCCATGCTCTCTAAAAAGACTTAAAGAGCAACTATTTCCTTGGGACTACTCCTGTGGTTTCTTTTCTTTAAAGAAGACTTAAGTTCAAGGTATCTTTAGGGTTCCATAGGAAAAGGAGCCACCTGCTAATGAACTAACTGTTTCCATCACCAGTCCAAGGATACGTATGAAGAAAATGTTTAAGAAATTAGAACTCTTGGTTAAATAGGGCCAGGAAGGGAAGTAAGGAAAGAATGGTGTTCCTTTTGGAAGTGGGGTCAACAAGAAACAAAACACAGAGGACAGATAATTAACACAAATGCAGCTTTACAAATATACCCCAGCACTTACTTGGGGGGCCATCCTTTCCATTTCACAAGATATTCCACTTTACCCTATGGGAGGGAAAGGAGAGACAAAAGAAAAAGCAAAATCAATAACCGAAAAAAGTAAAGTAAATTGGGTTGGCAGGACCATAATAAACCCCTTCACAAATTTCAACTTGTCCAATTCCTCACATTGGAAATTTAAGCATCTCCTCACTGAGCTACATCCCTAGGTAGGTTTGCCATGCAGACCTAAGCAATGGCCCTTTTTCAAGAGGGTCTTCTTCCAGAACGATCAGCTAGAAAGCATATACAGAGACCCAACAGAAAGACGAATCAAAGCATATACACGCAATTAAGAAGGAATGCTTAAGAAGTGGAAAGAAAAATATCCTTTTTAAAGAAATTCTGAAGGATCCTGCTGCATTGCTTGCTCGATACCTGTCTGCCTTGCTCTTCTCATTCCCTCTCCTACGAAACACCTCTCTTGGCATGCAAGCTCTCTACTTACAGCATTCTGTAATATGATGGATCACATGTCATCTTCTAGATGGTCTATAATCTTATAAAAATGAATGGAAATGGAGCATGTGGCTGGGCTACAGGAATGGTTCTCAATGTCTCAGGCAGACCTATCCAGGTAGCTGCTAGGGGAGGTATCATTTCCCACTCCACCCTGTTTACACATCCTCATTGACCCACAATAAAGGATGCCAGCCTACCTGTCAATTTAATACAGAAGGTTTTGTTCCTCTACTGCATGATCAGCAAGCCAACCCTAAAGTGATGGTTTCATTTCCTACCATACGTGGATGGGTAAGGAAGGCAGGGGGAATAAATACCGAACAATCAGCAGCGTTCAGAGATTATAGGCGCGCTGAGCTAGTATGATGTGATACGGTTCTTTTTGGCCCTGTGACAGTTGTTTCCAAAGTGCATAACTCATCCCCTCTAGGAAGGACTGTGAAGATGCATAAGACCAGAAGGACAAAAAAATGGAGGGGGGACCCACCACCTATGATTATCATAAATTTTAAGTATGATGCTATTTCCATTTCCAGAATGGGTTGCCTTAACTTGTAAAAGTCAAGGGAAGGTTCCTAACCCTCTGGTGTGAAATTATACATGTAGGGATAACAGCGCAATCTTAACCATGTCTGCTCAGAAGTAAGTCCTCCTGAATTTAATGGGGCTTACTCCCAAGTAAGTAATATTAGGACTGCACCCCAAGTCACCCAAATGTCAAGATGTTCACTGTCTCTTAATGTCCAAGTTGTTGAGCAAGCCCTTCATGCAGAGAGATGGGTGGTGGTCATATTTTCCACTGCAAAACAATGGGCTGGCGGCCCCTAAGAAATTAATAGCACAGAGACCCCCAAAAGGCAGATAAAGCATACAGTGAATTGCTCACTTGAAATGAATGGCCTAAACAACAAGGCAAAGCTCTGACAAGAACACCATCAAGTCCATGCAATAACACTCAAATGTTCCAGCGCCCATCTCAAGTTTCAATCATGCCTTTGGTGCCAACCGCCATATATTTAAAGCTGGCAGGGCTTCCAGGAGACCCAACCTGTTTCTCTTTCCCACAGGAGTGGAAATGAGGGAAGTGGAGGAAATGGTTCAAACTGGGGAGTAGGGGCTTTGAGAATGCGACACCCGCTAACTAACGGGCATGTTGGATGTTTCTCCTCCAGGAGAACTCCTCCTACTGCAACACCTCCACTTTACTCTGGGGCCAAGTAAGGTTCCAAAGTGAGCCTAAGGATGTGCAATCTAAACGCACACTTGCCGCTGACCTGGGAGTAAGCCTTGTTGAAGTCAATGGCATTTACTTCCCAGTAGAAACAGGCAGAGCAACACTGGGCGAAGTCATGCCCCCTGTGTTCACCCTCCAGCAAGGGTCCCAAGCGGTGGAAACCATTCATGCCAATCACCACGACTGCCACACAACCTCGCCTGGAGCATGACAGCCAACCCATGCCCATGCCTTCAGGGGAGGGAGAGTGACAAGGGCTTCACTGCCGCCCCCTGGCGGCGGGATAACGAGACGCTCCGCCGCCACGCCCCCCTTACTCGCGCCGTGGCATGCGTATGAGATGTGGGGCGTGGGGGTGGGAAGCATACGATGCCGAGCTGTTACTTACAGCACCATCACTCCGAGAGGCGAGGAGGAGCCGCTTTGACCCCTGCCTAGGAGTCAGTCACCTAGATGAGGCTTAGAAATAGAAATCAAAGCGGGGCCCGCGTGCCTCCCTCCTACCTATTTGACCGCTCTTTGCAGCCGGAGTAGTGGGGCGGGGGGGGAGAGAGAGCACGAGTGGGGAAGACGCCAGCAGAACCCACCTTCCTTATGCGCTTCTTCCTGATGCTTTCCACCGCAAACACCTGCTCCCCGATAGCGGAAAGCTCCATACAGGGAGAAGACGGCGAGGAGGAGGAGGAGGAAGCGAAGGCGGCTGCTCGCGGATTCAACGCTGCGTGGCGCGGGCTCCTGATTTTGCTGCTGTTGCTGCAGCTCTCGCGCTTACTTACTCCACACTCACACGCGCGGCGGGGCGGGAGGGGGAGAGGGAGGGAGAGAGATAGAGACGCACGCACACCCCTCGCGCGCTCCGGCACGCCGCCTCTAACGTTCCATTTTAGAACCTGCGCAACATTTTCCCAGGCGCGCGCGCTAGGAAGAGCAGCGCCCCCGCCCTCCTTTTCTCGCGAGCGCCGGCTGTCAGCGAGGCACCGAGCGCACGGGAGGAGAGCAGCCGCGCCAGCCTCAGACCTGATTGAGCGGCGGCTCCTCCTCCTCTTCGCACACAACAAGTAACCTGCCCGAGCGCGCGAGATAAGTCCCAGCTCCTTGGCGCCCGGGCCTTTATTTAAGGCGCCCGCGCGAGCGAGCTGCTCCTTTCTGACGCATCCTCCCTGCAGGCAGGGAAAAGAAGGGCCGAGCAAAAAATAAGAATGCATATGTTAAAGATGGGGCGATACATACCGGGGGTGGAGTGGGGGAGAGAGGGGAAGACTCGCGCGCACCGGTGCTTAAAGCTGGCGGCGCGCCTGGGAACCCTGGAGAGCAATAGCATTCTTATGCAGTACGCGCACCCGTGGCGGAGGCTGCGATCCTCTGCGCTTACCTGGGCGCGAGCTGCGGGGGAAAGAGGCCGTAGCTTAGCGGTAGAGAGTTTGCTTTATACGCAGCGGGTCGCAGGTTCCAATCCATGGCATCTCCGAGGCAGAACGGAGACGGATCCTGGAGGGAACCGCGCAGCTAAGTCAATACTGAGTTCAGTTGTATGGACCAGTGGACTGACTCGCTGTAAGCAGTTGCCTAAGTTTCTGCCCCACCGCTTGACTCTGTGGGGCTGACTTCTCTGAGCAAGCATGCGTAGGATCGCGTCGCACAAGCAAAAGCGGCACCCGGGAGGGTCCTAGGGTTACTCGGGCACAATCGCCCCCGGTTTGTGTCCGCCCCAGTCGTCGTTGCTCCTAACACCATCCTGCATCAGGGGATTTTCCTGTATAGAAGAGGGAACGCGAACCCTATTTAGGCCCCTTAGTCGCGTTCCCGCCAGGAGTATTTTTCGAGCAGAGTTTTTCAGCATGGCTAGTTCTATAAAATTAATCTCAATGAGGGCTTCGTCGCGCAGCAGACATGAGCTGCAAAGATTTGGCATCCTGTCGTAGATCGGGTTGTGCTCTTACTGACCCTAATTCCAAGTAGCATTATATTTCCCTGCCTCAGTTTTCTGCTTCCTTGACACCTGTCACGCATCGCTTATTATTATTATTATTATTAAGCTACGTTGCAGACAGGCATTCAACAGGTGGTGTATTTCACTAACAGAATAACATTTCTCGATACAAAAGTGTCCGTTATCTCACACGCGAATTTCATTATTCCCATTTGCAAGGTTCTCCGAGCAGTGAGGGTGGAAAACATCAAGCATTCGTAGGTAGGCTCTGGACAATTGTTGTCAAAAGCCCGCCTATAAAAGTTCCGTTTGGAGGAGTGTGCGTTTAGAAAAGGAATAAGCCCCCCAGTACCGCTCCCATGTGCTTTTTATAAAGTCGGAACTTTCTTTTTAAGCATATCCCTATACAACGTTCCTATTGGTTCATTTCTACCCAGGACCTTCCTTCCTTTGGCTTCATTGGCCCATAGCTATGCTTGTTTTCTTTCCGTTCCCCATAATTGGTCGACGTCGGTTAATTATTTCTCTTTTAATCGTGAAATCATCGCGGCCTTCGGGCCTGTCTCCGGGATTTCCGTGTGCTTGGTATTCTTAGACTCGCGAGCGGCGAACAATGAGGATTTGCATTTGAGCTGTTTTTCTAACAGGATTATTACCACATGGTAAGCAAAGGAGTTAGCAGCAAAGTCGGGTTTTTTAAAGAAAAAAATATTGGATGTGTGAATGAAAGTATAATACACACACACACACACACACACACACACACGTTGCTGTCACTCAGAATTGTATTGGCTTTATGTTGGTTTTCTCTCTCTTTTTGATTGATTCTGCACAATTAAGGTGGCTAGTTATGCAGTGCCAACGGAGAAAAATCTACTTCATCAGATGCATGACATTTTATCCTGAGTTACAGGCCAATATATGTACTCATGTGATATTTCGTGTTTATGTGTATACACACAAATATGCCATAAATAGATTAGGCTCTAAGGTGCCACACACACACTTGTTCATCTGGGATTTTTTTTAGCCCAAAGGTCACATTTCCTCCTGGGGAACCTTGGGACATACCAGTGGTGAGCAGGACCAGAGGCAAGGTGGGTGGGGCTAGAAGCAAAAGTGGGTGGAGCAACAGGAGCGTCTCTTCACTTTTTTCCTGTACACAAACATCTCTACCATATCTCCTGCTCAGCAAGAGGCATTAACGTGTTTCAAGGAAACATCCCGCCCAGGCAAAAGCAGTCAAGGAGGACTAACACAGATCTGGACCAAAGGGCTGTGGCCTGGGGAGGGGCTTAAAGTCCCAGGGGCCTGATATAGAAGTCTGGAGGGCCACATCTGCGCCCTGTAGGGCCTAAGTTTCCCTACTCCCCAGAATAGCACAGCTACTGCTCTGTGAATTTATAAGTACAGATACAAATTTAGAAATGGTTAATGGAATGGATCAGACAGCCCTTCAAACAGAGGGTGCTTTCAAAGAGAGGGCTGCCCACTGCAAGCTAGGGCACACGGCCACCCTAACCACAATGGGAGGGAGCAACACGGGGGGGCGGGGCGGGAATCCAGCTGGCCCACTCTTGCAGTGCAGCCGTCTGAGCTCTTGCTGTATGGTGGCTGTAGGAAAATCTAATAACGGGAAGTTGAAGGCATCTTGTATTATTGTGCTGGTGCATTTGGATAGAACGAGATTCAGATTGTTGCAAAGCCACTGTGCAAGCAGATCAGCCGACTCAAGCAATGTGGCACTGTGCCATGGCAGGTAGGCTGAGGCAAAGGAACCAAAGCCCAAGAAAAAGCAAGGCTATGGTCTCATATAAAGGCAAGCATGATGCATACGGTCGATGAAAACTTCAGCTTTAGGTCCCCTTTATATGTGTGTGTAAAATCTTTTCTTTTTGAGAAGCAAACTCTACACATGCTCAGGAGAACTCAGCCTGAGCTGCCAGAATTTTTGTAACACATGGCAATTCCAGCCCTGACATCTACTCAGCAGATCAATTTGAGTGCAATGCAACATAGGATGCAGAGGGTGCCCACCTTCGCCCAGGTGTCCAGTTGCAGCCACCTTCAGAATAGAAAACAGCTCCTGGAGAACGCAGCGAGTCTTTGTGAAGACCTGTAGCTTTGCAGAGCCCCAAGAAATGGCCTTGCTAAGTTGTTGTTGTTGTTTAGTCATTTAGTTGTGTCCAACTCTTCGTGACCCCATGGACCAGAGCACGCCGGGCACTCCTGCCTCCCGCAGTTTGGTCAAACTCATGCTGGTAGCTTCGAGAACACTGTCCAACCATCTCGTCCTCTGTCGTCCCCTTCTCCTTGTGCCCTCTATCTTTCCCAACATCAGGGTCTTTTCCAGGGAGTCTTCTCTTCTCATGAGGTGGCCAAAGTATTGGAGTCTCAGCTTCACGATCTGTCCTTCCAGTGAGCACTCATAGGTTTGATCTTCTTGCAGTCCATGGGACTCTCAAGAGTCTCCTCCAGCACCATAATTCAAAAGTATCAATTCTTCGGCGATCAGCCTTCTTTATGGTCCAGCTCTCACTTCCATACATCACTACTGGGAAAAGCATAGCTTTTACTATAAGGACCTTTGTTGGCAAGGTGATGTCTCTGCTTTTTAAGATGCTGTCTAGGTTTGTCATTGCTTTTCGCCCAAGAAGCAGGCATATTTTAATTTCGTGGCTGCTGTCACCATCTGCAGTGATCATGGAGCCCAAGAAAGTAAAATCTCTCACACAAAAGCTGCCATTATTTCCTTAATGTCGCAATAGCTGGCATCTGTTCAGGGCTGATCTCCAGAAGCCATTAGCAGCGAACAACTGCAACGTCCTTGACTGTCCAAGCTTATGAGCAAAGCCTGTGGATTCCTGAGCTGGCAGCAGATGGCACCCTCTACACTCACAATGAATGTGTGCTTGTCTTGGGAGGGAACATGATTCCCTCTCCACTTCGGAGCGGTGATGACTTCATGCATGGCCGCCCATAATGATATAAATTGCTTCCCATCATGTGGAGAATTTATATACTTGTGCTACTTGCTGCTAGGGGAGGCTCAGCAGGTTGCAAAGTACATGCTTTTGCCTGCAGAAGATCCTAGGTTCAATTCCTGTTAACTGTTAAAAGGATCAGGTAGCACAGCCTTCATCAACCTGGTGCCTTCCAGCAGTTTTGCACCACAACTCCCATCAGCCATTGACAGCACTGCGCCTCAGTCAAAATACTGGGGTTTTTTTGGTTTGTTTTTAATCCCTCTACAGGCATCAATTCATTTACCAGTGTCAGGATGTTTGTTTTATCATTAACACACAGTCACTGAAATTACTTTTACATTTAATGTAATTATCATAGTCTGTATTCCTTGCGTTTCATATCCCTCTGACTTCATGGCTAACATTTCCCCATCCTTCCCAGGTGCATTTCATGACATTAATCCCCAAACTACAGGAATATAATTTTAAAATAGACAAACATTTGTACAGCATGTATCTCTGATGTTTTCACTGAGACTATACGTTACAGTGTTCAGCTCTGCATTATTGCTGTTTGACTTAAATTTTGCATCATTAACGACACAGACGTGAGACAGTTCCTGCCCAGAGGGTTTAGTTAGTATTTAAATTGGATTGACAGCTTCTACCAAAGATAGTCCTTGCTTTACAAAAAGCTCTGGCAGGCTGCATCCTGTCCTCTGCTTGTTACCCTTTAAAGTGTCGTTTGCACAGGATCATCAGGGAGAGGGGGTTTTGCAGTTGGGTTCCCTTCCTCATTGCAAAGGGTAGGCCCAGTTAACCTCCTTCAGAATGATTCTCATCCATCAACTCATTGAGCCTGCAGAGGGAGGCCTTCAAAGAAGGAGCCCACAGCACACCTGCCTGCCGCAGGGGGCCTCACACTTCCTGGGCTGGTCACTGTCGGAGACACATTACAGGGTCAAATGAAGCATAGGGCTGATGGGGACTGGCAGGCTCTGGTGCTCCCAAAATTCCATTGCGAGGAGGAGCTGCTCCCAGCTGCTACTCAGGTTGGACAGGATGGGCACAGGAGGGCACAGCAAGTGGCTCCCATCAGGCATGGCCAGGAGAGAGGAGGGATCCTTGGAGGAATAAACAACCAAGAGTTCTGCAGCACCTTGAAAACGAAAAAAAGGACTGTTGTGAAAAAACGTCTATTGACTTGTGTCTCCGTCATCAGATGCATCCTCAGAGGAGGTTACATGGGAGG